TTTTGCTCGTTTCCATCGCGTTGTACTAGGATCATTGAGTTAGAGTTTTGGGACTAAAAAAAAAACAAGAACACAGATCGTGTCCGTCCACGGAAACATGGAAAGTGAACTACTACCCTTTTCTACACCCCGTGGCCGCCCTCCCCCCACGGTGGTGGATGTGGTGTCCGTCCGATCAAGATCGTCGTCGTCCTCGTCGTCGTCGTCTCCTCCCACCGTGACTTTCAACAAGACCCTCGGGGTCCAGGCCAACGAGGAAAAAGAAAAAGAAGAAGAAGAAGTGGAGGCCGAAATCGATGATCAAGAACGACGACTGGGGTCCCATATAACTACTCGACGATCACGATTACCGCCCGTTGCTCCCCCACAAGCTACTAAGAAGAAGGCCAAGTGTGATGTAAATCGTGACCCATCATACGACCACGACGACAACAGCAACAGCAACAGCAACAGTGCCAGCGACAACGATAACGATAACGACTTCCTCGAAAGTCCCACCCTTCGATCCCGTCCCCCTCACAGTTCCCGTCACCGTAACCGTACCACCACGGCATCGGCAGGCAGTGACGGTCTTTTCCCACCAACGTGTGACCCGTTGTACCATCTGTACGACCTTTCTTCGTCGTCGTCGTCGTCGTCGTATTATCTCCCCGAACACGTAATGTTCTCCCTTATCCACAACCCACGCACCTTCCTCCGCTTCATCTTCGGCATCGTCTTCCTCATGTGTTTCCTCACCAACATGGTCTCCGGCGGGCCACTAGCCGCTCAACACCTCCGCGACGCCTTTCGCGGTCACCGACCATGGAAAACAGATACTAATGAAAGACGAGACGACGACATCGCCCAATCCCAATCCCAATCCTCGCCACAACAGGGCAACGTAATCCGCGTCGCCGCCTCTCCCATCCAAATCGACCCTCACGGCGTCTACATCCGCGCTTCCCCTCTCTACTCCTCCTCTTCCTCCTCCGACGGGCGGCATCCCGACACATCCCGCATCATCGCCGGCTTCGCCAGCACCTCGGGGTCTGACCGCGTCCTACGCGTCTCTTCATCCTCCAACTCGGGCGCCTCCTGGTCTCCTCTAGGTGAAATCACCCGTTTCCCCTCAGACGGGACCCACGACCTCGACAACGCCATGCCTTTAGCCTTACCGTCTGGTCGTATCCTGTTCGCCTTTCGACACCACTCTCTCTCTCCTTCATCAACAGGCTTCCACTACACTTTCTACCGCCTCGACATCTGTTCCTCCTCCGACGGGGGCCGCACTTGGTCGTTTCTGTCACATATCGACCAACGGCCTGCAGCAAACGACAAAAACGGCCTGTGGGAACCTTTCTTGCGATTGGCAGCAGACGGTAAAACAATCCAAGCGTACTACTCCTCTGAAAACTCGGCCGGCGACCAAGATAACCTTATGCGCTATTCCACTGACGAAGGCAAAACCTGGTCGGACCCGCCTATTTTAGTCTCCAGCTCGTCTACTGCGGATTCACGGGACGGGATGACGGGTGTTTCTGCTATTTCTTCTTCCTCTCCCAGGGAATTAATCTGCGTGTTTGAAACGACTTCCCCAGATGGGACTTTTTCGATAGCTAGAGTGCTAAGTCACGATGATGGACTCACTTGGGGAGGGAGGGAGAACGTGTACACGGCTCAAGGAGGTAAATGGGCGGGTGCGCCGCAGGTTTATCTTGTGGGGGACACGTTGGTGACGAGTTTCTTGACGAACGAAGGGACGGACTTGCCTAAAATTGATGGGGCGTATACCAAGGTGGTGGTTAGTAAGGATTCAGGCAAAACGTGGACGGAGACGGGCAAGGCGGAGACGGTGGCGGGGACGGGGAGCCATTGGCCGGGTTTGTACAGTTTGAACGGGACGCATTTCCTAGCGCTGTATTCGACGGATGAGATGGGGGCCGTTAGTCATTTGCATAGTGTTTCGTGATTTTTATTTTTTTATTTTTTATTTTATTTTTTTTTTTTGCTTAAAGGTTGGATCGATGTATATTTGGGGCGGTGGCTGGATAGAAAGTAATTAATGGTAATAACCTAGGAATATTAATAGGCATCAGGATAGAAATGGGAATAGGAGTAATGTCCAAGTACCTAGATATCTTGAGGTAGCCTAGTAACCTGCGACAATGTGTTTGAGTAGGTATTCTTGTGGGATCGAAGTCATGAAACAGCGGTGGTTGAGGGTGAGGTCGAAGAAGGTGATAGTAGTAGTACTGTCGATGGAGGTACTGTGGCGTTGATAGGTACCTACTCCTGCAAATGGTGTTCTCAAAAACGGTAAGTAGTATTCCCGGTGGCAGAGGTTGAGTTGTTCAGGGACCGCATCTTGGAATATTTTCCCCGATACATGAAGCCCCCGTCAAGTGACTCTTGCTCATCGTCCACGCAGCGGAAAATTGAAAGCGTACATCCGTTTGATTTCGATTAGATGCTCAAGGATTGTAGGATGAAAATACGGAATATAATTGGTGAACCTACCCAAGTGAGGATTCGCATGAGCGAAAAGCTCTAGGGTCAAATAAGGGATCTTCCGGCTGCCATCTTATCTGATTCCATGATGACTGGCTTTGTTTGTTCATCGAAGTCGTCATTGGCGAAATTGCCATTACTGGAGTGGAGAGTAGTAGTCAACATAGGTCGGGCGTCTTCTTCGTAGTACAGCCACCGCGCCTCTGTCGAGGGCGACAAGAAGGAAGAAAGGGAGGAAGGAATCACCAAGGGTCCAGTTCTTTCCGGTGGAGATTTTCCTTATCGCGGCGTGTGCTGCTCGGGCTCTTCCAGAAAGAACAAGTAGAGTACTGAGACAACTGAACGGAAGGAGGAAGGCACGAACTTTAGCCGCGCACGGTGGTGAAAATCGGCCCAAGTTCCACTGCAGTTGCTTCACGCCTAGAAATGAAGGCCTGTACTTGGGTAGTTTCGAATGCGATTGTCTGATGCCTGTTGGCGGCAGTTCTGGAGAACGCCAAACTCCTCCTGGTTCGACCGGGCACCTTCTTTGATGCCTTAACTTGGGAGTGACATCCATATCAAGCTGACCCTTCGACACAACAAAATCAAGCATGTTTTCTCCGGTCACTCAGCCATCCTTGATTAATACTAGACCTAATTAAGGACCTTAGGGCAACTGTTCAATTCTGACACAAGGTCCTTCTAGTGTTCACTCGGAGACACTGGACTCCTCGCTAGGTACCGCTCCAAGTGGCTGCCGTGGTGTTGACGACTGTTTGTCCAGGACTTGTGTGTAAAATTGTAAAGATGATTGGTTTCAGAATGCATGCTGTAAAGATACTGGACACGACAGGCATTGATTGGATCCAGACACGATGATGAGGCGAGTGGGATATCTCGCTGGACATCTCCATTGGCGGTCGGTATTGACTGCCGCTTCTTTTCATCCTTGGTAGTTTAAGGATTTGACTGTAAAATCAAAAGGGAAGCCTTGCTAGGTAGATAAAGAAGTACAATGTATTTGAAATCGAGCGACAAACTTGACGAGGTGGTAAACAGCTGGATAATGGACATCCGTGGCATGAACAAATGGAAATTGGCCCGGGTGTTGTTAAACTACAATAAACCCGGCTATAACCTGCGGTGCTGACCCGCTATAACCTCCGGGCCGCTAACCGCTAACCGCTGCCTGTTTACAGCCCCACATTCTCCAAACGACGGATATTTCCACGGAGACTGGAAACAGAGAACATGACAGCCAACGGTTAATTTGATGCCGGTGACGGTCCATTCCCCACATGGTGTGTCTGACCAACAATTGACCAAGCAGTGCAAAGCATGCAGAGAGCGGCTTTTGGTTTCATGGTTTTTGTTTTTTTGTTTTTCCCTTGATTATCAACGGGTTTATAATGGCGGGTCTGTCCTCTGGACCAACATCATATCATTTTGTTTGTTTTTTAAACTTTTACTTACTTGTTCTGATGGTCGATGATAGGAGTATATATGTACAGTGATTCGCAATATGTAGAGGTATGTACCTATGTATGGACGTGAGAAGAGTGAGCTGATGAACCTCGGTACGTACCTATGTACACGCCAGACCAGACCTGGTGCATAGAGGTATGTACTGTGTAGACTACAAGATGATTGAGATATGGATAGGAGCAGAAGTGAGTGAGGAAAGAGAGAAGTCGACGTTCGCTATAGTAAAGAAGAACAGTATCGTATAAACATTGTCTTTTCAAAAAAAGAAAGAAAAAAAGATAGAAAGATAGGGAAAAAAAACAGTTGGTGCTTCCATACTCCACCATCACCACCTCCCCATCCCACCCCCATTCCGAATTCCCGATCGACGCAGCCGTTCGGTGCAGATCCCATCCGCTCCTTGTGCCCCTGCCGCCCCGCATGCCTTAACTTTCTGTGCGCACATACATACCGTAACTGTCACCCCAGCATCCTTAGCTACACAATGAAATGCGCCCAACGGTCACTGCATCGACTAGTACTACACTACACCGTCTTCGTAATGCTTACTCAGGTCGACGAACGAGCCCCTACAGAAACTTAGCTAATGTTTACAATCGACAGAGCCCAAATCGCCAAGGCGTTAGAAACCTACCTCTACTCAATTTGATCGCTCGAATATCGGCTTAGTCAAGGTACACGTAGGATTAGTGTGCATACATACCTTGGCACTTCGCTTGGAATGCAATGGAAAATGTAACTAACCACCTACTAAGTACCGTACTGTATGGCCAGGTGGAGGGAGGAGCAAGGCATGGAGTCAGGCCCGCAACCGCGGTCCATCGAGATCTGCTCAAGCTCGCGGTGTAGACAGCGAAGGTGCCACCTTTTCTTAATTTTAGTCAGGGACGAGTCAGGTTCAAGACGAACGGACGGGCAACTACATAAAATATCTTGATGGGATCTCCCCCCTTAGCGGCCTCCAGATTTCTTCCGTCTTCTCTGACTTGCGAATAACCCGAGACCACAAAGTGTCAGACAGACGAGGCTTTTCACCAACCACCATGACGCAAACAGAAAAACACAACAACATCCTCCAGACCGACCTCCTCATCGTTGGTGCCGGCCCAGCCGGTGCTTCGCTGGCTTGCTTTCTTGCTGCTCATGGTAGGCCTTCCGTCGCATGACACGAGGACCTCGACGCCGATGACTGACGCCCCCCACTCTCCAGGACGGACTGGCATCTTGATCGCGGCCGCTCCCGGCACGGCGGATACACCACGGGCTCATATCACCAACATGGCTGCTCTTGGTACGTAGTAATATTAGTAGTAGTAGTAGTAGTATTGCTTTCTCCTCCTCCTCATGTAATGCTACCCCGGTACGACGCATAGGTGAAGATGGTTAACAGTTGGTGTTGATTGTTTCTTTCTCGACAACAGAATGCCTGCGAGACATTGAACTGGAACAAGAATGCAGACTCGCCGGGACGGACAGCAAGCACATGGAGCACACGCGCTGGTGTCGCAGCATGGCGGGCGAAGAGTTTGCGCGGGTTTACTCGTGGGGTCACGATCCGAAGCACAAGGTGGGTTTGGGTCACTTACCTGCGTACTATGTCTGACGCCGCCCAAACGCTAACCAATTCGCGCACACATACACAGGGCGCCTACGAAACCGCTAGCCCGTGCGACCACATCGACCTGCCGCAAACCCTCCTCGAGCCCATCCTCGTCAAGCGCGCCACCCACGCCGGCTGGACCGTTCGCTTCAACACGCGCTACGTGCGCCTGTCACGCCCCTCTCCCGACGTCATCCTCTCCGAGGTCCTCGACGAGCTCACCGGACAGACCTACTTTATTCAGTCGCGCTACCTCTTTGGGTGCGACGGCGCCCGCAGCCAGGTCGTCCGCGAGTTGCAGCTGCCCCTCATCAAGAAGCCTGGTCAGGGGTTGGCACTCAACGTCTTTGTGCGCGCCGATCTGTCGCATCTGATGGAGAACCGGTCGGGCAACCTCCATTGGGTGTTCAACCCGGAGGAGGAGGAGTACCCGGTCTGGGGCAAGGAGTGCATTGTCCGCATGGTCCGAGCGTGGGACGAGTGGATGTTCATCTTCTTGCCGCAACCGGGCGCCGATCTAAAGGCGGATGATATGAGCGCTACCAACGACGAGTACGTGGCGCGCGTGAAACAGGTGATTGGGGACGAGAACGTCGAGGTGACGCTGCTGCATGCGAGCAAGTGGTGGATCAACGAGGTGGTTGCGGAGCGGTATTCCGATGGCGGCAATGTGTTTTGCTTTGGCGATGCCACCCACCGGCATCCGCCCTTCAACGGCTTGGGAAGCAACACGTGCATCCAGGACGCCTTCAACTTGGCGTGGAAGGTGGATTATGTCATGTCTGGCAAGGCGGGCAAGCAGCTGCTGGACAGTTTTGACAAGGAGAGGCAGCCCGTGGGCATGGATATCGTGACCAGGGCGAATCAAGGGCTGCGCGACCACTACGGATGGCAGAAGACGCTGGGCTTGCTGGAGGACGACATGGAGAAGACGAGGAAAATCTTGGCCGAGTTTGAGGACCCTGGCGAGAAGGGCCGCCTGAGAAGGAAGGCGTTCCGCGAAGGGATCGAGAACACCACGACCGAGTTCCACGGCTTGGGCATCGAGATGAACCAGAAATACGTGTCGAACGCGGTTTATCTGGCGGATCAGGGAGAGGCGCCGCCTGCGCCCAAGGATGCAGTCAGGACGCTCCAGGTTACCACGTATCCCGGACGCAGACTGCCGCACGCCTGGTTGAACACACGGGTGCCTGGGAAGAAGATCTCGACGATTGACTTGGCGGGACATCGGCGGTTCTGTCTGCTTACCGGACCAGGCGGACAGGCGTGGAAGGACGCGGTCAAGGCGGTCGGGGAGAAGCTGGGTGTTGAGGTGGTCGCATTCTCGATTGGCTGGAAGCAGGATTATGAAGATGTTTACTTTGACTGGGCCGAGAGGCGAGAGGTGGAGGACGATGGGTGTGTGTTGGTGAGGCCGGATCGGTTTGTGGCGTGGAGGAGCAGGTCGGTGATTGAGAAGCCGGAGGTGAAGCTAGAAGAGGTTTTGAGGAATGTTTTGTCGCTATAAGACTTGGATATACATTACTGTAACGAAGCTGTTGTCGTCGTCGCCGCGTTGTCGTCGCATCTCGGGTTTCTATGGCCGTCGTCGTCGTGCGGATCATGTCTTGTCTCGCCATATTTCCGTAGTATAGCAATACAACTGCGGCACAGAGTTTCATTACACGTGTGCTTGTCTGTCGTTGGTGACAGAGACAACAACTGAACTTAAAGTGAAACACAGTGCCGATAGCCGTTGCGGATCAGTGTCACCGTCGCATTTCGCCAATCCTTGCGACAGAAGACCATCGTGGTGGTGGTGGTGGTGGTTGCGTCGTCGCATCAATGTCGCATCGGTCCAGCCATTTCCGTCCCATCTCGACATGTATATTCCCTGGGCAGTCGTCAGGATGATGAATCACCACCACAGGTCGGGCATCCAACGCTTCGTTGACGCAAGAGCCTGATCCCATGATGGTGGGAAACCAATTGTTAGTTGTGTCGAGACTGGCCCATTTCTTAGCGGAGAAGCGTCATTGGTGAGGTTTTGGGTGACTGACATGTGGTGATCCCTCCCCCTGCAAAGTGACGTAGACACTGGTTGAACACCATCGGGGGTGAACTCTTTACACTAACAGAATGTAGTAAGCACATGGTATAAAACTGTTAGCAATTACAAGGTGGTCAACATCTCGGCATTTTTCTCTTGGCGCCGACCGACGTCAGAAACAAGACACAAGCACGCGTTTACATGGGAGGTCTCGGGAAGGGATTCACATTTCACAGGGATTCGTCGGATGAAGGGTCTTTTTCGTTTCTTCTTCTTCTTCACCACGTTTTTTTTTTTTGCTGGGACGACGAAGGGCATCCACGCGATATGTGGATGGCTCAACGACGGAGCAAATGCCCATCTCCGTCGCTGGTTGCACGGCAGACAAGACAACAAAGAGTGATACCGGGAAACAGACGGACGGGACTTGGCAACGAAGAATGGCAAACCATGGCATGGCACCTTCAAAGTTGTGTACACTACAAGGCAGGAATGATGGATTGGATGAATGAATGACTTGTGGTCAATTGCGGTGTACAAACCTGTCCAGTCCTTGATCATCCGTCACATTCTGCCACATTTCCATGGATGAGACAAGAGCCCTCGCTTGTGACTGGTTGGGAAGAAGCTATCGATGACGGTGGGAGAGGACAGGACAGGAAAGAGTCAGACAGCATGATGCCGGAGACGACGGGAGGTAGGTAAATCTAAACTGGACAGTGACGGAAGTGAATGGGCTACCCTGAGTGAGGTGATTGCTCATTCCAGTCCAGTCCTTCCGTCACTTCCACCAGACATTCCATTCATCACACTGCAGATTTAAGACCAGCCTTCTTCCCTCCCTCCCACTCCCGCTCATCACCTTTACTCCCTCAGTTCAGTTTGCTAGGACAACAACAAAAACAACAACGCAGGACAACTACAGCCACCACCATCAATAACAGCCCACCGCACCCGCAGCATCAACAAAGAACATACACTCGATCACCATTACCACCATAATCGTAATCTAAAAATACCGAAATCAGTCACCATGGCCTTCGGACGCGGTCCCCGCACCCCTCACACCGGCACCACCGGCACGACGACGACCACGACCCACGCTGCTGCCGACCGTCCCAGCATCTTCAACCCGATCCTCTCGCTCTTCAACATCTTTGTCTGGATCTCCTCCGTCATCGTCCTGGGCATCGCAGCCTACGAGATCCACCAGTTCAAGAAATACTACGACGCGTACCCGGGCGCCCGCATAGTTTATATTTTGGTCATCGCCGTCCTGACGGTCGCCTTCTTCTTGCTCTCGTTCCTGCTCCACCCCCGCCCCGGCTACACGTTGCTGTTCAACCTCATTTTCAGCTATCTGTGGCTGGTGTCGGTGGTGTTTGCTGCGCAGAGCTGGTCGAGTCGCCATGTGGCGAGGAAGTGGCATGCCATGGAGGCTTTTACGTTTCTTGCTTTGTAAGTTTTTTTTTTTTTTTTTTTAGAAAAAAAAAAAAAAAACTACACCGGTGATAGCTAGCTAGGTTTGAAGGGGAGGGGGAAATTGAACTGGATGGATGGATGGATGCTAATACCAAAATTGATAGCTTCGGCCTGTTTTTCAACGTCCTCTACGCTTGGTGGCAGCAGCACCGCGCTACTGTTCCCTCCCGCACTACCACTGCTGCTGTCGTCTAAGCTTCGCTTCGCCTTTTCGCTTTCTTGTGAAGTGAAGTGAAGTGAAGTGACAAACGCTACTGCTGTGCTCATGGAAACTGGACTGGACTGGAACAAACAAACGATGCAAGCAAACGAAAAGGAGGCCATCAATGCAGCTACCCGCATGACATGATGACTCCAACTTGTGTCTATGACAGGTACCTGGCGGAAGTGAGAGATGGACTGAACTGGACTGGATATACCTCTACCTCTCTACTGTAAGACCTTGATGGTCTTTTTCTTACCTCTACCTATTTACGACTTGATGACGGATGATATCGGACTGGACGGACTGGACTGACTGGAAATGATGATGGCGAGAAATGAACCATGGCTTTCCCCCCCTTAATACCCACCAATACCCCAATACCCCTAATACCCAATGTTACTTTAAGGTACACCTAACAAGGCAATGGCGGATGCAAAGCAAGCAAAGATGGAGTAACGGCTGTTAATAGTACCTACGGATGGGATACATACCCTTCAATGATAAAAATCTCTCCATCTCTTTCCATACCTATACCTACATGCCCATGAATGAACTCGCTATGTATTGACAGAATTTGACCGCGGACGAAGATCGATGTGTGTATTTGATGTCCTGGACTGGACTGGACCGAGTCAAGAGTGACCACCGTGAATCAGGAAAGTCATCAGATATGCTGCAGCTCTCCCACACACCGACACTCACATACCAAGAGCCGAATACACTAACGAGCAGGGTACTACTACCTCTAGGTACATAGGCAACTTGAGCTTCAATGAGAGATAGAGAGAGAGAGGCGAAGGCGAGGAAGTTAACGTGAATCGATGCGATGGGTTATACATATAGGTAGGTACTTAGGTACCCACCATTTGCTTTCGGCTTCACAGTCCATTGTTGATACCTTCATCATCATCATCATCATCATTACCATCATCCCACTTAACTGAAAAAAGAATTATCTTGTCCCTCTCCTCCACACTCCTTGCTTAATGCTGTGAACCATACGAACTTGCATGGAATATTAGTCATTTAATTATACTTTAATTGGAAGAAATAATAATACTAATAATGATTTACTTCCTGAAGAACCTAATAGGGGTAGGTATAGATCCATCGGGAAGTCGTACCTATAACGAGGTCCTCAATTACCACACACCCGGACAAAGAGCAATCGATGTACCCGAAGGACCAGACAGAGCCTGCATACCTAGGTCAACATTAACCAGCACGTGCATAGAACAAACATCGATAGGTTAAAAAATCACATCCTTTCCTCTCTGACTCTAAATCCTTCCGAATCCCCTTCACCAAGTCTAGGGTAGTCAGTCGTTCATTCGCTTCATTCATGTTGTCCTGCTCCGCTCCCCACATTACCTCAATAAGCACCTATGATCCCGTCCTTTCCTTTCACTCTCTTGAACCTTCTTCATTCATTTGAAAAAATAAAAATCTCTCATCTCTCCTCTCAAATCATGGTATCATACACTAGGTAACACAACTGAACAAGCTCTAACCCCGCCTTCCTTCCCCCTTCCCCGCCAACTGAAGCCTTCCCCGCATCCTCTGAACACTTCCATGTTGTTAGGCGAACCCCAAACTTCAAGTATTCATATGGTGGAATGATGCTTTAGATCAACAACTCCCCATTTCCATTCCCATTCCCATGCTCATGCTCATCATGCCCTATGCAAGTTGCAACCCAGCCCAACCCACTCCCCTAAGCGGTCAAATGTAGCCCCCTGAGCCCTGACTAAAACCGTGATATGCATACCTTGACCTTGTCCCGGCATACTGTGCCCAATGGCCCCTGACCGTTCAACTCCGTGGATCCAATCAGGCATCTTCGTTGCTTGTGCTTGTGGTCCATGCCCTTCTTTTGTACTTGTTGCTATTGCTTGTTGCCTTGGTTGCCTATCCCATCTCCTTCACTTCTTTCCCTCCAAGAACATCTTCTTGAAGTCGGCGTTGCTTTTCTGGGCAACTGGTGGGCCTGTTGACGATTGACCGGTACCGTTGACTTGCTGCTCCGGGCCCAAGCCATCCTTCGCCGCCGCCGCAGCAGCGTTCTGCTCCTTCTGCACCTTGCTGACAGGAACGACAAACCCGAGGCCTTTCTTGGCCCCCGCTTTGCCCAAAACAGGCGGTCTCCTGATGGGTGGCGGCGGCGGCATCAGCTGCGCGGCGGTCTTTCCCTTCTTGCTGGCCTTGGAATCATCCTGCTTTTTTGGCGGTTGCTGATGGGGCAGATCGATCCTGTCTATCCTCTTCTCGGCCTTTTCTTTGAACAGCTGGCCGACGGACCCGACGCGCAGCTTCTTGCCGCCCTCGATCTCAGTACTATTGATCACAAGAGAGGCCTTGCCGGCCGTCGCCGCATCAGCGAACTCAACGACAGCGCCGCCGTGCTGCGGGTGGAGCACGAGCTTGTTGATGGCGCCGATGGGGGCGACGATGGAGCGGACGCGCGCGTCGTTCATCGTGTCGGGAATGCCAAGAATGGCGATCGTACGGGCGGCAATCTCAGGCCCAGACACGTGACTAGGTCCCGCCCCGGAGGCGCTAGACTCGGGCGAACCTTCGGCTTCACCGTCAGCTCGACTCGTCGCGGTGGTTTTGCGCGTGGGCGGCTTTGACACCTCCACCTTGAGGGGATGGTTGCCAAAGATCACCTTATCTAGTATCTCAATCGCCTTGGCTGCCTGTTCCTTGGTTTCCATCACTACAAATGCGGTGCCGGTGCTAACACCTGCCATGTTGCGCGTCAGACGGACGCTGACGACGTTGCCGGCCTTTTGGAAGAGACCCTCGACGTCCTCTTCGCTTGCTGCACGAGGTAGGTTGTTCACATGGAGCTCACGTTCTTCGGCCTGAGCTCCTTGGCGCACTTGCCTATGGCCTGGGTCGGAGAGCTTGGCCTGCAACTTGTACTTTCCTCCCTCCAAAGGCTTGCCATCGAGTTGAGTGGCCGCGGCTGCAGAGGATCGATCGCGGAAGGATACGTAGCAGAACCGACGCTTGGTGTTGTACTTGAGGCTGGGAAAACGGATACTGTGAATGTCACCACAATGTTTGAAAAGATCACGGATAGACTGCTCATCTGCCTCAGGCGGGTAATTGGTCACGAAGAGGGTGCAATCGGTTGCCGGGCTAACTTGGATAACTGACTCGCCGAGGCGTTTCCCATCACGAAGCAAAGCTGTCCGAGCATCTTCTGGCGACTTAAACTCGATCAGCGCCACAGCCGGGGTACCTTCGCTCTTTTGGAGGTCAATGTTGTTGATGTGGCCGTACTCGCGGAAGAACTGTCGTAACTTGGTTTGGGTAATGCCTTCGGGGAGATTGCGAACAAAGACCGACGTGTTTTCCCTGTCACGCTTGAGCTCAGCCGCACTCATAGTTGTTTCGCTCTTCGCCCGCTTGGCACAATCATCAACCTCATCTTCAAACCCATCTTCGCGCTTCCTCTTGGAGCTGGGTGATGTGCCAGCTTGCGGGGATTTTGTCATGGGGTAATCCTGGTATTGTTGCTGTGGGTATTGCTCTTGCTGTTGATGTAGCTGCGGTTGGTGCTGGGCCTGGGCCTGGGCCGCCTGTGCCGCGTACGCGGCCTGGGCTTGAGCTTGTGCCGCCGCCTGTGCTTGGGCAGCCTCCCTCTCGCGACGCCTAGACACGCCCTTTCTTGTCTTGTAAATGGTGTCCTGGGCTTCACGGAGGGTTTCAGCCAGCTCGTAATCGTTGCAATGCTGAAGATAAACATCCATAATCCTCTCAGGCCAGTCAAGCGTGCGCACCTTGAGAGCCTTGATGAAAACACGAGTGGCAAATGAGGGGACCCGCAAGCCTTGGGCCAAGGTAGCAGGTGTAGGGCTCCGGTTCTTGCTCTTGGTAGAGGCGAAGACGAGCATTTCCCAGAGAAACCAAGCCAGCCAGAAATCGTAGCTATTGGCGTGTAGCGGAATGACAGACAGCTGTTCCCATACGTTGCGTGCTTCATCAATGTCATCCTTCTTTTCGGTTAGAAACTGGATCAAGATCTTTTCTAACCTGAAGTTGGGGTCACCCTGGTAAGCATCACCGTACCGTCGCTTGCCCCAGTGTCGAACGTCTTCCAGGGCGGACGGGAGGCCGACTTCGGCAAGGTCAACGGCTTCTTCAGTCGCGTTGGGGTTCATGGCGGTGCGCTTGAGGTAGCCACACCAAGCCGAGTACATTTCCAGAACTCCACCCATGCCATCACGATCGAGTTGAGCACAGCTCGTCGCTGCGTGCTTGATGCGCTCAATGTCAGTGAAGCCTAGGCCAGCTTCCTCGGCGGCCAGGATGTAGCGGGCCCAGACCGTGCCGGACCAGGGAACGTGGTGCACAGCGCGCTGAAGGACGTCCAGCATATTAGGCAGGGTGGACGAGGGGATCTTTACGCGGCCCATCTTGATGTCCGAGTGCCATGTTGAGACGAAAACGAGAAAGTTGAGCCAGGTCGCTTCATCCGAAGACATGATGCCGGTAAGAGCACGCGAAAACAGACCCAGGCAAATGCGGATGTTGAGCAAGGTGTGGTGGTCCTTTTTGGATTTGGCCTGCCTAATCTCCCAATCGATGTATTCGGTCATGGTGGCCTTCATGCCCGCGATATCGCCCACCTTCTGGGCCTGGTTGAGCTTCATCTCCCAAGGGTCGCGCATCTCGTACAGACGCTTGGCGTCTCGGGCGTTAGCGGTAACGTGCAGCATCTCGGACTCGTAGTTGACGCGGTTGTACTCGGAGAGGAAGCTAGAAAACATCTGTGACGTGTTATCCCAGGCGGCATGGGGCACCGCCAGTCTGTTCTTGAAGAGATGGGTGATGCGGCGGACGCCGGCCTCGGTAGCTGTGCGGGCGAGCAGCTCCATCTCGAGGGAAACCCAGCGATTCCAGAGCTGGTGGCTGTCGGAGAGACGGTACTGGACGGCCTCGTAGCCCTCCTGCCAGAGGTTGAGGGCACGGTCTAGGGTAAAGGTTTCGCAGCCGGCGCGCTGCTCCTCCATGGGCCAGCCAGCGTCGCTACCAGGCTGGCAGTCGGAATAGAGCGACCAGAAGTATTCGCAGTAGGCCATCCATACTTTGAGGCTGCCGGGCTCGGCTTGGACGGCGCGACCAAAGGTCTCGATGACTTTGACGCGGCCTTCGAAGTCGGTGGCGCCACGCAGCTGGTGGTCGACAAAGTCGACCCAGTTATCCTCCCCCACCGGACTCGCCATTGTTCTAAGCCTTGGATCGGGGATCTCGTGTCATCGGTCGACGGGGTGTTTTGTGCGGGGGTGTGCGTGTGCGATTTGGTAGCGGTAGTCAGCAGCGGGATACGGACAGCAGATGGCGGGGTGTTGCCGTTATCGCGAGGCTACCGGTGCGATATGCGCTGTGTGGTCGGTCGGTTGGCCGGAGAAGAAAGCGTAAAAATTCTCGCGAGGATCAGGTGCGCAGGCGTGGGTGCGGCGGGCGTGGTAGATGAGGAACGACGGACTGGGGGGGCCGACGTGTCAATGCCGATCAGCGGATCTGTGTCCCAGGCAGTAGTGTAAGGTAGTCTTAGTAGTGTATCCTGACCCAGTGAGCCAGGGAGCCAAGATGAGAGAGGGAGGAGAGGAAGTTTCGGGAAGAAGACAAGCGAGGAAGAGAAAGAAGGCTGCTGGCTGGGATGGTGTAGACAAACAGTGGTGCGGGTGGTGAAAGTGTGAAGGTGTGGACCGTGAACTTGTGGTGGTGGTGGTGGTGGTGGTGGTGGTGGTGGTGAGGTGGTTGGCGGGCGGATGATGACTGAGGATCTGATCAGAGATTCGGAAAACGAAACCGAGGACGGACGGGAGACGAAGGATGGAAGATCCAGTGCGGTCTCCTCCTGTTCAGGGCACTGACACTGACACTGAGAGCGAAGCTCGGGAGGGATTCTGGGCCCCGCCGTAGACTTTCCACTTCCACTTGTGACGGGGAATTTTTTTGGGTCGGGTCGGGCTACGTTACGGGTTTTAGTGGGCACAGTGAGGAGGAGGTGGTGGTTACCTAGTGGGCCGGACGGCACGGGCGGTACCTGGCGTCCATCGCCTTATCGCTGCAGTGCAGGGCAGGCAGGTGGTCCCGCCCGCCGCGTTGTCCACTCTCCTGGGAGAACGCGGGAAGGAGCTGGAGCGGGATGGAGGTCGAGATACTTCCAGGTTGCCCGGACGGGCTATTCAAGTCGAGGCATTGCATTGCAGTGTTCAGACACCGACGGAAACGTGACATTTGGTGATCATGGAACTTGAGCGAGTCATTCACTTCACTTCAAATTGTCCCTTCCCGCCTCAAGTCAGTTCCTCAGTCCTTCTTCAGTACCTCTAGGTAATTCTGTTTCTGTTTCTCTAGCAGTCGCACCTGTTCTCTTGGCTTTTGCTCCCAGGCCGCACCCCTTCCATTCCACTTCTGTGTGGGCGGCCGGTCCGATCGGATGCCCCCTGCACCTTCTTTGGCAACAACAACAACAACAACCTCGCCAGCCAAATACACTACATACCTCTAGAGAGAGGTAGTCCCCTGACTGACAACCGACCGTAGCGCGGCGGGATAAGATGGAGACGGAGGGAGGAGTGAGTCCCACGGTGGAGCCCCGAACACCTTCGCTGCACCATGCCCGCTGCTCGCTTGCGCATGGAAAGCTCCCGTCACAGTGAGACTTTGGCGACACAGTTCACTGGGCGACGACTGGACACTGGATGGTACAGTATCTCTATTGAAGGCTAGAACATTGTTGATCGTCTTCGACCACCGTCTCAGGACATCCAGATCGTCTCCCATAGCCAATCGCCGTGTGTGTGTCTCGGGCGCCAAGGTCCTTTTTGCTCCTCGTGCTTTGGCAGCTGCCTGGGAGACGGAGGGACTGAAAGTGACGGGTCTGTTAGTGGACCCTTGATTGACTGTGATCTTTTTCACGGCTCGGCGATCTCTGTTACTGTGTGTGTACTACTAGTAGCACCTTCGGTTCTACAAGTTCAGGTTAAAGGCGCCCCGGCATTTCTGACTTTTTTTTCTTGCTTCCCACCTCACTGCGCATTGCCGTTCAACTCTCGTAACTGGACTGGACTCGCTCTCCTTTCTGTCATGTTTTTTGGGTCCTTCGTGTTTGGCGGCAGAAACGTAACGACATGCTCTAAAAAAGACTTGGCACAAACTCACAGCGGCCCGTCAAGTGGGCAAACTTCATGATTGCCAAGAGGGGGACAAACCCAAGAGGCTGCGTTGTGCCGGACATGCACATGGCCAGGATGGCGAAATAAGCTCTGTGGGATCTCGCTGGGATGTCATATCTCATCTCCATTCCATTTTGACAAAGCCCACCAATATGCGACCTTCCTCCTGCGGCCGTGTCGCCGGCTCCGGCTCCGTTGAGAGATTTAGCGTCCGACTCGTATGGGAATGGCATGGGAATGGGACCAGTGGAACACACGAATCCAGTTCCGACCAAGCAACACCACCCTTTAGCTTGTGATGGCCTCATCCAAGACGGAGCTAAGCACATATTGGCGGACAAGACAAGAGGTGGTGCCCCGAAACGCATTGGTGCTGACTGCTGACTACTGCTGACTTTGCCCTTTGACTTTCCTTGATGCTTGAGCTTTGTCCGACAGAGCCGGCCAGATCGACAGAGGTCTAGAACTGATCAGAGCAATTGATGGTCTGCCAAATTTCCTGATTGCTTTGCGAGTCCGATCGTGAGTGACACTGCATAAATTCCTGGCGGTGCGCCTCGTGTGCCTCTTTTTTCACGCCTGCGTTTCTGTGTTGCAATCGTGAAAACCTACATTGTGGATTGATGGTTACCATAATCCACAGAATTTCACGAGACAATTCACATTTCAAGCAAGTTGCCAACCAAAAATGGAATCCCCGAAATCCGTTGCCGACATGGAATCCAAGATTTCGACCCTGGCGTAACGGGGAAAAAAAGGGGTCAGGGTCGGGTCGGGTGTGCACGACGGCACACCTCACCAGCGAAAAAAGTCGTCATGACGACACTGTCGGTCCCCGCTCTGAGAACAACCCACTTCGGGTCATCCGCGGGTCCAGGTGAGGAAGTGCTGATTTCAGTATGATTCAGTCTTTTTTATGCACGGGCATTTATCAACAATTATTACATATGTACTGTACCTCCCTCACCATTTTTCAATAAAGGGTCGACGATTCAGGGTCCTACCGCAAACTATTGGCACATCTCCCGTGCGGCTGCAGTGCAAAAGATCCTTTGGAAAAAGCCAGCCAGCAGCGGAGGGAGCTGGCCAGTTCGTAAGAGTAGAGTACCTAGTCTCCAAAAAGCAAATCGGCCGGCCGAGCACCTTGGCGCCCACAAAAACCCCCTTTTGCCGATCTCGCCGATCAACCCTGAGCCAAGCCAATGAAGTGCCTGTTCGCTGACTGGTCCCTGGCTTTCCGTTCTCAGCTCCCAGCTCTGCCATCTTGGCACCGTTGGCTCCCGCCGAGACCCCTTTCCTGCCGTTTTTGCCTCGTCCCATTGTTTCCGTTGCTGGCGTCCTTTTTAGGGTCTTGCGGCATGATGTTTTCTCCTCTTTTCTCCCCGCCTTGTGTGCATAATGTTGGTGTTGGGTGTGGTGGCGTCAGGATCCCATCATCATTACCGTTCACCGTCGCTATGTGAGTTGTTCCTGGGTCGGGCGGGATGTGGTTCCTTCAAAATAACATGGCTGGGGAGGAGGAGGAGGACGAGGAGGACGAGGGAGAGGAAAGAACAGAATGATCTGGCCAAGACCGCCGGGACGCCGAAGCCAGCCCAGCAATCCCGTCGTAGCTGTGCGGAACAATTGCGGGTGCAGTCCGTTTTGTACTGTGGACCTTTGAGCCTGTGACGTCATGGTCAAGCCGACCGAGTGCCGTCACATCCGAGCACTTGCCGCTCCACGCTTCGGCCATCTGAAAAGCGATTGGTGGTCTCGGCTTGCAAAGTGGGCTGCCAAGGGAAAAGAAAAAGTCCTGCCAAGGTTGGCGTCATTGCCGCCGGGATTAGGTCCGCAGCATCAGAGTTGAGTGGAACCAAACGCACTAAATCGTAGTAGCGGCGCGTTCGACCCGTTATCGATCCGTTATCGAGCCCGCCCCCGACCGCTCGACCGTCCGAGACCGTCGATTGGCCGATTTTGGTCCACTGGCAAAATCTCAAGCGACGGACTTTGAGACTTTTCATTCCCAGATGATTTGGATGGATGCAACGTTCTCGAAAAGACACTCTCTCTCCATTTCACACCTCTCGCCAGAAAGCTTCTTGTTCTTACACACACAGAGAGAAAGTGTGTGTGACAGAAAAAAAACAGTTAAGGTCAATCGAGCAATGAGTCTGTTGGACGTCGTCACAAAGCAGCTGCGGGACAGGGACCCTTGAGGACCCTTGGTTTTGTGACATGCATGGAATGTTTTGTTCTAGAACGCGCACAGTACATACAACAGTCAAATGAACAACCAACAGCCCTCACTTGGTTATTTGTTAAGGGATCGGAGAGCTCGGTCTTCAGTTTTCTTGCCTCCTCCCAATCTGACAATATCACAGACAGGCAAATTAGAGTCACTGCCTCGCTGCTTTCAAAAATAGCTACCAAGTATTGAAAGAGATCGAATATGATCCGCGGCGTTTTGAGATTGCTCACATGCCTTTTGTTTAGTGCATGCATACTGTTACTCAGCGTTGCACTCGCGCCTGAATCCGCTGCTCCCGGCATCAACACTATCGATTCTACAACGACACAAGTTCCAACACTCACTTTTGCAGAGTCAACATGACAACTGAACATGCGCTAGTTCATTCAAACTCTTACCTGAGGTGACAACGATAAATTCCGAGTTTCTCGAACATAAAACCGCATGCCTGCCAGTATTTATGGTGTCCATACTTTACATGCACGTTGCCTTCCACCCGATGTACCTACGCAGTCAACGCAGCTGGCATCCTACCAAACAAACGAATTACAAAGTGGTGATGCGCTGGATATGTAGGGTTACATGTCTTGCATGGCCACCAGCTGAGTGAAGAAGGAGCAAATGCCAAAATCGAGTCGAAATTTGGAAAAAGTAATAAACGTCCATGCTTGCCTCTTCCATGAGCCATAGAACTAATGTGTTGCTCTTTCCGTCCTCCTCCAAACCAGCATCACAATGACGACACCGACTATATCACCTCAGTGCCTCCTTCCTCGCAATCCCGCACAACCTCGCTCTCACCCATTGAATCTTCCTTCCCAATTACTCCACAAGCTCCCGTCTTTTATCAGTCTCCCTCCCACCGCTTGTTCCCAACGGACAGAGTGAAAAAAGAATACGACTATCTCGTCATCATGGCGCAGCGGTTAACAACACAAGGCAAGTTTCCATACCATGGTTCTCCTCCCCCTTGTTCCAACCCGCATGAGAGGATTCGAGTTCGATTCCCCGAAAAGGCTGCCAACCGGCAACGTTCCAAATGATGAGCTTAATTAGACTCCGATGATAGGTCAAAGTCAAGACCATAGGGGAAAAAAATATGACGAACATCATTTCTCGTTAATCTGAAGGAAGAATACATACGTTGCCTTTTATCACGAGTGATCTTTCATTGAAAAGCTTGCCAAGTTTGGGTGTGCTAACCTTGGATATCCCGCAGCTCTACCTTTCTGATATCCGTGATTGGATCCGACCGATAATTCTGATCTGTGAGCTCCAAAATAGCCACATCACTACAGTATCTTTTTGGCCTGGTGTCCTTCGTCTGATGACTGAGTGTCCCAACTTGCGTTTACCTACACACCATCGATGCATCGCTGCCCTCCTTCCTCTTCTCTTTTCTCGCCAACTGCATTCTCCCCTTTGCATATCTCTGCGAGTCAAAACCCCCAATCCCACCACTCGCCAACTCCATGAGCAGCATCATCATCTTATCCCCTTCCTCATCACCCGCCACATCCTTCGCCACCTCGCTCACCCTTCCCTCTCCTCCCAGTCCGCAGTTTCAGTCTGCAGTGTGATCCCAAGGTGAGGAGAGCGCAATGAATTGTGCGGACTATGGTGGGAGAGGTGTTCAACTTTGGTCGGACAGATCACGAGAGTGTCAGCTCTTTTTTTAACTGTGTCCAGGACTGCGTATCATGATGGAACGAAGGACTTTAACGATCCCAACAAGAAACTCACGTCTGGTTTCTCAGCAGCTAGTCGGCGGGTGAGTCGATGGAAACGAAGAACCTGGTGCGGTCGGTACTGGAACCTGGATGTTTCCGCCGCCGCCGCCGCCGTTGCTGGTCGGGATCGATCATTTGAGGGAATCAGCCAAGCCTGGTAATGACTTTCGAGGTGGTGACTCAAGGCTGATTGGTAAATGAGCGCATTTTGCACTTTAGTCTGATGTCCGCTTGGCTTGAAAGTAGATCGTAGGACACTGAGTGCTGTATACTGATTTCTGGAGCTACAGTCACCGTCGTTGACAAGGACCTTGGGATCAGCCGTTGTTGATCTGTTATTCACCTATTCTCCTACTTCCTACAAATGTACATTTCTAGGCAAGTTTGATAGCAAAGCACGTCACTATGCCAGTGACAAAGCCAGCAAGAAGGTTTCGGTATCAGTCCATGATATAGGATGACACCTTACTATCGTTTCACAGCTTCACGAATAGCATCGATACGAGTCAATACTTGTTTTTTTGGCAAGCAATTTTTGTAAAAAAAGAGGGGCGAAACAAAGTTGTAAAGACTCGATCGTCATGAATCAAATGTGCTCTATTTGCAGTCAACAATTATCGACATCCTTCTCCTTCCAGTATCACCATACTCAAAGCAGGAGAACTATTCTAAGTAGAAAAGCCAAAATTGACCTCATGTTGCACAGTACCCAAGGCGGTCGATCCCTATGCGCTGGAAGAATATACGCGTACCAGTATATCTAAACAAACAGAATGAACGAAATGAAATCAACGGCACAAAACTGAAGAAGCGCAAATGGTAGAGGTGGTGCGGTATGCGATCAACTTGATTAGTTGAATCAAAGTTCAGTAACATACATAAGCCTACCCAGGACTGAAATTCCGCATGTCCACAAAAACAGCTGCATGGCGCAGCGGAAGCGCGCCGGGCTCATAACCCGGAGGTCACTCGATCGAAACGAGTTGCAGCTAAATTTTTTGGCCTTTTTTGTTTTTCCCGTCGGCTTCTTGCTTCAACACAGTGGTATTTTTTCCTCATTTGCGTACGAGAATGGCGTGGAAAAGGTTTTCTTTCATAAACAATCCTTCTTGGGAGCAGCTTGACTATAGGCACTTCCAGGTAGCTAGTTACTTCTGTCCTATTTATAAGCTGCTACTGTTTATTTATCTTTCACCTCAGCTTCAAATACCTATTTCCACCCTTCTTTGCGTTTCATTAGGTGCCTCTAGGTACTTCCCAAAGGTCTTCTTCCCCCTTCTCAGTTTCCCCCTTCTCGGTTTCCCCTTTCCCCTCCTCCCGTCCTTACTCCTTCCTCCCAAGACCACTCACCACACTCCGCACTCCCTCCCCGGTGCTTTCCCCAGCTGCACCTACATCTCGCCAAACTGAAACGTGGTCCGTGGAGGCCAGACGTTTCTGACAAAGTGTGAGGATGCCACGCGTATATATCGACATAGTGGAGACAGGACGAAATCAAAGCCTAGGTAGACCTTCGCTCAGTTTATCCGACAATTGAGAATACATCATTTGTTAGAAAAATAACCTTACCAGCTATGATCTACGGCAATCTCGACCCTGCTCGGATCCGGACCGCCTCGCAAAATGTCGGACTGACGGCCCCGGGACTTGCACGGAAGTGGGCCCACCTTCTACTTCAACCGGACGGGACGGGAGTTTTTCTTTTGACCTCCTACTTATTCTACGCCTCAACTTCTAACCTCGGGACCGTACAAACTGCGTGGAGTTGGAGCATTTATTTCTCAGCCGTAACGCCGATTTTTACTGCCCTGCCCCTTTGGTACTACCACCAAGAGGCCCAAAAATCATGAACACAACTGACGACCCCCTTTCCTATGGAGATTGGGACGTCCGTCCCAGCGGCGACCCGCATAATATTAACTGATTACTGCGAATAGGTGTGTACCTTACCTGACGACGCCCAGATTGTAGAATAATTGGGTTGTACTTGCCTTCTTCCCCCCCCCAAAATCGTTGTTAGCTTTAAGTTAAGTGGGCAGGTAGGGGGCTTTATTGACTTGCCGCAGCCATCAGTTAATCCCCGCTGTTGGTACCGTGGAAAGAGTACCTCTAGGTAGGTACTGGTAAAGACGCGCAAACAAGCCGGGTTGAAATCAAGCTTACCTAGGTACTAACAAGCAACAAGCTTAATACGGCCCGTCCCATGATATATTTGCGGGGTGTATACAGTACTCGTGTGGTTGCACGAAATCTCACCGGCACCCACCCGCAAAATCGGCAACTCGCAATGTATTGACATGCAGAGTTCTTTCTTTGGACTTTCGGTGGTTCCCATCCCTCCTTCTCCAGGTCAGTCTTATCCACGAAGGATAAAGGCTGCGCTGGAGCTGAACGCGTTCATCCGAGGTATTCCCGGGAAAATATTGTTTCTTTTTCGTACGGCTGAAGACCCGACTGTAGCTGAGCAGTGAATTCAAGGTACAGTACACACCAGTTTCCCGTCGTTTGCATACAGTTGCACTGAGGCTCATGTATTGTCTGAGTAAGCAAGGGATGTATTTGGTTCGGTTGAACCAATGTTTCTATGAGGCGCCGAAGAGGCGCTGCTGATGATTGGGCGAGAGATCCCGTTACCCTGCTGAGCTCCTGTGGTCTGGGGATGTGCATTGTGCAGGAGAGACATTTTTCGGGAGGGATTGCAAGCTTCTTGATGGACGGAATGGAAGAGGGAAGATGCACATCTGACTGATAGATTGACGGATTTGCACAGTTTTCCTACCATGGTTCCATGTCAGCGTGGCTGGAAGTACATTGCGAAATCAACAATGGGACCAACCAAATACGAGGGGCATTGAAGCAGGGGCAAAGATTGCCGAGTCCCTCCCTACTCCGTATGTCGTACCCCATGGGGGAGAGATAGTTCCGATGGCTTGGGCAGGGACCTGGAGGGAGTCAGATATTCCCCTTATTTGTACGACGATGTCTGCGCGGCCCTCCCTAGGTAGCTCCCGAGACCGAGGAATGAGGATACATCTATCGAGCAAAGTATAAGTGGAGCTCCTCCCTCGACTCTCACCTGCTGTTCTCTCATCCCGCTTCACCAGTCCAACATTCCTCAGTCTAATCTGTCACCACCAGCAACAATCGTGTCACCAAACCACAAAGATGCATCTCCTCCCATCTCTCACCGTCCTCGCTACCGCCTTCACAGCCCTAACCTCCGCCGTCGCCCTCTCTCAGTCCGAATCCAGAGCTGTGGTTGAATCCCGCACCTACGGTGGGGACAAGTGCCTCTGCGAAGATGATGCCAACCTCCTCCGGGACGCCTACGTACGCATGATCAGCGCCTGGAACCCGGTTGATGCCAAGTACCTCACGGACGACTTTAGAGACACAAGCGGTAGCATCAACATTTTGATTGGGAAACCATTGGACGGATCGGTGCCTACGTTTGCGAACAAGCAGGAGTTTGTCGATCATATGACTGTGATGGTTCGTTCTTCACTTCTTCTTCTTCTGTCTTCACTATTCTCTTTTGAACTTTCAATCCTCTAATTACCTAACAACAAACAGCCCGACAACCTCCCCCTCCAAGTGACCTTCTCCACCTTCAACTGCAAGTACATCACGCTCATCTGGACCGCCACGTTTGGCGTCGCCCAAAAGGCCGTGCGCGGCATCGCCGTCGTGGGAACCGTGTACGACAAGAAGAAGAAGATGTGGCTGATTAATAGCCTGGATGTTGAGTGGAACTCGATGGCTTACCTTTTGGATATCGGGGGCAGCTATCAGGTGCCTGGACAGCCATAGATTGCTTTCCTGGTTCCTAGAGGCGGGGGGCTTGGTTGGAGCGATGGTTGGGAGTGAAGACCTTGGGAAGACGAGGGAAAGGAATGGTGCTGCGGTAACGCGGTGGTGGAAGCATGGACGAGAATGGGGTGGAATGTAAATATTTCGTGGTGATTGGGTAACTCGCGAACCGAAGCGCAAAGGGGTCAAGGGGGATCTCGGGTGCCGAGCCGGGAACAGACATTCCATACAAGGTTGGCGGCATCGGTTTGTATGCAAGGGACTGGACCCGGTGCAGCATGTGTCACGCGTGGTGCCTGGCTTCCATGTTTTCGTGTTCTTGCACGGTTGTATTTGCTGTTTGTCGTCGGATGATGATAGTTCAGTTGATGGATATAATGAGATGGATCTGCTTGCAATTGACTTGCAGCTCACCCGTGTTGTAGGTTCCGAGAATGAAGCTTTTCCTGCTGGATCTGTCAAGCCCAGCATCAAAGTGCATTCTTAGGTGCGATTGCAATCACAACAGAGGTAAATGCCGAAGCATGCATGCTATGGAGATTGAGACAAATGCTGTGTTCAGACTGTGACTCGTGTCGAAAAAAGGGTCGCTGAGACACTCACTCTGCCTGCGCTTCGGAGCCTTTGCCGATGCCGTGCCAGAAGGCACAAAGTTTAGTCGCTGCATTTCTCCGTGTGTATGACAAAACTTATAAGAAGACATGGAAGACTCAGGAGCACGGAAAGTGCGAATTTTGGTGATGATTTCCGATGATTTGAGGCTAGGTATGGAGAAACGGAAATACAGCTGTACCCTTGATAGTTGCACAAATGACATCTGCACCATTTTTTGCATCATTGACGCCTGTTAAAGGAAATAGTGGCTCTGATAAAGTGGACTGAAGTTGTTTCTGGCTAATATTAACTTCGTTCTGGTGCTCAAAAACTCGAGTGTCCTCGTTGTCCGCCACTTCGCGTTGTACAACAGCAATCCCATATTGAACCCTATCTCTCCTCAAGAGAGTGCCGAAGAAAAGAGAAAACTATTCTACATTTGTCCCTACAGCTACGTACACTCCCATTGGGTATATTATGATTCCCAATCTAAGCTTTGCGTGGTTGCAATCTACGTGGCGCTGTTTATGCAAGTTGACTTCAATCGGGTGCCCAATTGGGCTGCAAATGGAAAACCAGCGTTGCGAATGTATCGCGAGGAACTAATAAGGCACCCACTTCTCGTAGTCCGACGAGTGAAAAAGAGGAAGTGTAGAAGGTGTGAGATCGAAGACCTCCCTCGGCCAAGGATTGGATGATGGAAAGGCTGCATTGCAGTTTCATTTCATCACCTCAGAATGGCTGAGTGTAGGTGCTTGTAGGAAGACGTGTATGTGCTGATAGGTTTTCTTCAAGAAAGAAGGGTGTGTGGGTTTCTATTCTAAGAGGTCAACACAGTCGATTCGTGAGTTGGTGCTGTCAAAGATAACGCCTACGAAGTGACAAGTGTTCAAACCTCTACAAGTGGTGCCACTTCAGCCTCACAACGACGTACACATGGAATCCACTTGAGTTGCAAGAAAACCCTTCACTTCGCAAGCCACTTTTGCAAAGGCACGTTGCGCTCACGGGGGATCTTGGCTTCATCCCACTCGTTGTTCAACATCTGATGAATGATATCAACCCCAGCCTTCAACCATCATAAATTCGATTAAGCGCCAGGAAATCGAACTTCCATTGCTTCCTTCCTCTTTCACAATTCATCGCCTAAGACGAGCCAAGAACTCACTAGGACCGGGCAACTATCAAAGACCGGCAGCCATGGAGGCCAACAATTCCCCACAGCAACCATCGCCACTACCACCAACGTACCCAGAACTCTCCTACACCACCATCCCCCTCAACAACCCCGCCACCGAAATCCGCCTTCTCGACCTCTACCCCTCCGCCGACTTCTCCTCCCCGCTCTACTGCCGCCTCTACAACACGCCCATCGCCTCCCCTGCACCCTTCAAAGCCCTCTCCTATGCGTGGGGCAGCGACAAGAAGACACATCTGATCTATGTCGAATCTACCAACACCAACGGCACTGAGAAGAATTCATTCGTTCATTCTCTGATCACCCTATTTACAACATACAGTACGCGGTGCTCCTTCGGCAGTGACGATGACACGACTGTCGCCAGCGTCGTCAACGATTCTTCCGACGTCGAGGTCCATGGCGAAGGCGCTATGAGTGGTGGGCATGGAGAGGAAAGAGGGGAGTCAGACGTTGGGGGTTCCGGACCGACAAGGAGTATAATTCGCATCACCTCCTCGCTAGACAGTTGTCTGCGCCACCTGCGAGCCATCCACCACCGCGACCACCTTGCTCACAATAACTCACATCCTCCTCCCAATCCCCATCACCACATGAGCCCGCCAGTGCCGCCACTGACCCTTTGGATCGACCAACTCTGCATCAATCAATCTGACTCGGATGAAAAGGCTGTTCAAGTCGGACTTATGAGTCAGATTTACTCGCGCGCCAAGCAGGTGCTGATTTGGCTGGGTCCGGCAGCGGACGGGTCAGATGAAGTGATGGATGTATTGGCGGAGCTGGGGAAGGAGTTTGAGATTGTTGGAATTCGCCTGGGCGATTGGGAAAAGATTTTGAAGTTGACGGAGGAATATTTGCGTAACTCACTGCGTATCTCAGCTGAGGGCAACGTGGGTGAGAAGAGGAAAGAGAGGATTGGGGTAACGAAGGAGAAGGAGGTACCTCTACCTCTAGGAAAGGAGATCGATTGTGGTATTGGTGTTGAGGGAGGCACTGGAACTGCCTGTGGAGGTGATGGGGTCGTCAATGCCCCTGGTGGTGGTGACGCTACTGCTGGTAACAGCGATGAGGTTGAAATTGGGGTTGAGTTAGGACTGGGCGTGGACGTCACCGATATCGAGGCATTGGACGAAGCAGCAGTGGTCTGCACCACAAACAAGGCCGATGCAAGCACCGGAAAGACCGTTGTGGCAGTCGTGGAGGATGGAGCAGCAAGACTTTGTCGTCTGGAGGTGTCGGGAGAGTTGCAAGCTTTTTTCCGACGCCCATGGTTCACGCGCTTGTGGGTCGTGCAGGAGGCGTGCCACTGCGCCGACACTGTCTTTGTGTGTGGAACGAAGCCGCCGGTGAGCTACGATATTCTTGGGACAATTCCCGTCTGTACGCTTCACGCCGTACAATGGCCTGGGCACAAGCGTAACGACATGTCGGATTGGGACGGGGTAAGCCCCATCTGCACCGACCGCAAAATAGCCGGGGTGAGGGTGTTGGATGATGTGGCCGAAGCCATTGATGGCTTGTTAGGATATACATTAGGGTCATACCTAACTCGCTGGACAACAATTCAGCAGATCTCGAAAGGAGTGGGGGGTAACGATCTATTCACGCTGCTCGTCGGTACGTACACGAGGGGAAAGCGGGGTGGAGAGACGAAGTTGTACAGAGATCGAATTTATGCTTTGCTGGGTCTGGCGACGGATGTCGATGAGCTGGAGATCCAACCCGATTATTCAAGTCAAACGAGCACTGCGCAAATCCTAACCGACGTAGCAAAGGCTATCATCAGCAAGACGAAGCGTAAATTCCCGGTCGAGCTTCTCTCTTATTCGCAATTTCCCAAAACAGCCCTCGACGATGGGAGTGATGAACAACTACCATCGTGGGTACCGGATTGGAGGTCTGGCTTGAGAAATCCATTTCATTATTCACTCAGTGACACGACTATGTTCATGGCATGCGGGCCTCATCGCTCAGTCGATATGGTGCCGACTACACCTGCTAGTGTGCTGGGTCTACGAGGATATCTGGTTGATACCATAGAAGAGGTGGTCGGTACTTCGACGAGAAACAGATGGCGTGGGAGCATCAAGTTCTTTGAAAAGTTGGACAAACTATGGATGCTTTCAAAGCAGAAGAACAAACCCATATACAAAACTCCAGCGCGAAGAGAGGAGGCACTTTGGCGTGTGCCCATTGCAGATGTGGCACAGGATTGGCAAAAAGATACGACGAGAGACACGAGGGCAAAGGCTGGTTTCGCCCTCGAATATCAAAAATGGAGACGTACTTTAGAAGATGAGAAGAAAGCTACCTCTACTGTATGCTTCCTATACGAATTAGACGCAGATGAAGGATATTACTACCGCAACGCTACGGGAAAAATGATCGGAATGAGGCTATACCTCACAAAAGAAGGGTACATGGGTATGGGACCCTCCAACACGCAACCCGGGGACGTGGTTGTTGTATTTCCAGGGGCCCGGGTCCCTTTCGTGTTACGACCCACGGACGAAGACAATACATTCACCTACGTGGGAGACGCATACTGCGATGGCATCATGGATGGAGAGATCACGCTCAGGGAGGAGAGAGGGGAATTCTTCTTGGTGTAGAACTTGGACCAAAAACAAGAGCAACGAGTAGGTAGAGGTTGTGAACTAGGCAAAATCGCAGCACCAATACCTCTAGACATAACACGGAAGCTAGGTAGATTCCTAAAGGTGTCCAAGTCCCTAGAAATGAGTATCCGATCCGTTGAATTATAGAAGTAAAAATACCCAAGGCCATCTGTGATATACACACACACACACACACAACAGCAACAACAACAAGCCAAAGCCCAAGGTGACCAAGATCTGTCTGTCTGTCTGTCTGTCTGTCCATCTATCTTTCCACTTCCGCTCTATCCCAACCAAACATTGCTTGCTCAGCCTTCAATAGACTCCCTACAAAGTACGATCTCCAGTCCAGATATTCCAGATAATCTAAAAACGCAACTTTTTCTCCAACCCCACCCCCCCTTCCCCCCAAAAAAAAAGAAAAAAAAAAAAAAAAAAACCTTAGAGCGGTCCTTCTACTAAGTACCTCCCTAGTTTCGTAAGTACCTACCCAAGTTAGAACCTAGGTACCTACCTACCTACCTACCCAATCGCCCTTTCAAGTACCAAGCAAGTAAGCAAGCAAGCAAGCAAGCAAGGACTCCAACGAGTGCCCGACCACAACCGCTCAATAAGTAACCTACTTTACCTGCATGAACTATGTAGTTAAGTACCTACCTACCTAGTACCTACCTACCTAGTACCTACAAAGGTAAAAAAACTAAGGTCAAGATACTTGCCCAGTCCCAATGGTATCAAACGCTAGACTAATCTCCCCGTCTCTCCGCCTCCCCGTCTCTCCCGCTCTGAAAACTGAGACTACAGATAGGTACCTAGGCGGCCAATTTACAGCAACTACCTACCTACCTACCTACCTACTACTTTATACAATACAATTGGTTATAGTATGTGTGTAGCCGCTGCTGAGGCTGGCTAAGGTTGGCTGAGGTTGAGAAGGGAGTGCATTAATAGAGTAGGTACTTCTTGATGATTGGTGGGTTGGGTAGGAGGGTGTGGTAGTATAACATCCTGCTGTATACACGAGACAAGTCACAGCTGAGATTGGGTAGATCGCTTCTTCGCGGTCCTGAGAGAGAGTTGGGAGCCCCGATATGTCTGTCTCCTTTTGGTTTGGTTGGCAGTGGTTTGGCAGGCACCGGATGAAGCACAATACAACATGAGATATTGTGTAAATACTGCGAGTCTGGATAATTTCGGACATGGACGGACCTGGACAGGCAGTCAATACTTAGGTAGGAAACGAAGAGTCAGAGAAGCACCTAACAAAGCAGACAAGAGTGGAAATCGAACAGAGGGTATAAATAGCCTAGAGACAAGTACAATACAATTCGATACCTTCGAACGACCCAAAACACCGCTCCCTAATGCAACACTGAACGCAGAGATGCTAACAAAAGAAAACCAAAACACAAATCCATCCAAGAAATACCCTCTTTTAAGATCCAAGATCTCTTCCTGCTGACCATGCCTCGAAGTAGGTGGCTGTAAAAATCTCAAACAACTGATTCTGATGCCATCTGTATCCAAAGAAAAAAAGAAAAAGTTATGATGTGGTAATATTGCAATATGCAAATCCAACATGTTTGTCGTATTTCCCCTTCCTGCCTTCTACAGCAGCCATCATTCCACATCATTAATTCCTTTCCTTTATAGATCCCCTTATTCATCACCCCTATATCCCCTCCCTCAAAGCCTCCTCAATACTCCCCAGCTGGCTCACATCCAACGCCTCCACCGTCACTTTACTCGGCAACCCACCCTTCCTCGACAGAAACCCTGGGATCACGCCGGGTTGATTGATGCCCGGCGCCCTAGGCTTAATGGTCGTCCCCGTCGTCGCAGAGGACACGGACCGCAAGGAGGACGACAGGGGGGTGGTTGTGGTCGTAGTTGCCGTGCCGGCCGTGCCAGTGGTGGTGGACGAGCTGACGCTTCGGTAGGATGACTTGCCGTCGCTTGCAGCAATGGCGATGCCTAGGCCGGTGCCTGTGCCTGTGCTTCCTGTTCCAAAAGGGGTGGGTGTGGGCTCGGGGAGTTCCGGGGTCGGCTCCAATCCTGTTCTTCCCGTTCCGGGTGCTGCGTCGATTGCGGTAGTCGGCTGGCTAGAACTCTGGCTCCAAGGCCGCCACGAGACTAGCCTACCCAAGGTAGGAAGAGACAGCTGACGGGAGGCTGTTGATCGCACAGAAGAGGACATATGCAAACCGTCAGTGTGGGCGCGACGATTGGGATTGAGGAAGAAGGGCGGCTCGGCAACCGAGGGACGTTTGTTATTCTGGGAGGTGGATACGGGTCGGGGTAGGCGCTGTCCTACCAGGGCCAAATTATCTCTGGCGTGCATGCTTCCGCGCGAACCGCGCGCCGAGATGGTCGGCATGGCCGTGACGTTGCTGATTCCGGTTCCGGCGGCGCTGAGGCCGAGGGGTCGCAGCGTCAGTTGGCTCGGGCGGACCTTGAGGGTGTGGATGTCGAGACCGTTGGAGAGGGACATGATGGATTCGTGTGAGGTCATCCGTCGGAGTCCTCCTGTTCGTTGCTCTGCCGCTTCGGGGTGGAAGTCGAGATCTCTGTGAATCGTGTCGTCGGTCACAATTTCCGGGTCATCGACGTCGCCATTTGCGCTCATGGTCTCAACGGTGTCGTCTTCGGCGGAGGAAACCCCGTGGGCCATGTCAGGTACGTCGTCGGTGGTGTAGGCGCCCATGGCCTGGTTGAGCTCCTCGGCAAGAACGAGACCGGCTAGCGAACGGTGGCCGGGATACGGTGGTGAACAGGTGCCGGAATTGTGCATGGCCGTACTACGAGTCGACCATTGCGATGCCTGTCTGCGGTGCGACTTTCGGTTCCATTCGGGGGAAGTTGGATCGACACTTGTTGTGGGAGAGTTGGGGACCGACACCTCAATGATGCCGCGGTCGAAGACGGAATTGCGCCGGGGGTTCGATTGGGGAGAGGTCGGCGCGGAGGATGGCGCGAATTCGGAGGGCATTTCGGAGATTAGGGACCAACGGCCTGCTGCTGTCGAGGTGGAATCGTGAGCACTGTGACGCGGGATAAAGGGTGGCCCAAGGCCACGGCCCGCCTGCCATTGGGGGTTCTGGGAGGATACTGGTGTTGTAGGTGCTGAGATGATGTGTGGCGGCGAAAAGGTACCTGAAGTCATGGATCTCCTGTTCTTCTTTTGTTTTCGTGACTCGCCCTTCTGGGCGATATGGTAATGATGGTGGACATGTACGGCTTGTGAGATCTTTGGTGTTTTGGCCGAGTCTGGATCGTCGAATTCGGTCTGTAGTGTTGATACGGTACCCAACTGCTTCGGATCACTTGATGACGGCTGGTGATAATGTATCTGTTCCCGTAGGAGTTGGATTTCGTCGTGTGAGTTCATTAGCATCTCACGCAGTTCGGCAATGCCCAGTTGTAGGTTGGCGTTGTCCTGCAAGAGGTCGCGTACGAAATGCGACACGACATTGCGCGTGCTCTTGGTGTCGGATAGGGACTTGACCGCGGCAGCGCCCTTAAGTCTGCCTGCTGCCGTGCTGAGCTCCTTTTCCATTTCTCGTTGTTTTTCGATACGGCCGATAACCTCGGCGTGTCGTTCCCGTTCTTCTTTTGCTTCCTTCTCCATGCGCTCCAGTTGTTCCTGCAAGTCGTTGATACCCTTTTCGGCCTGCTTCCAACGTGTGATGGCGGTGCGCGCCTCCTCCTGTGTATTGACCAAAGTCGCCTGTAGTGTCGCTTGCTCCTCCTCGAGCATGGAGAGTTGCTTCTCCAGGGTCGCTGCCCTCTCCGCCGCCAATTCCAGTCGGCGGATCTCGCGCTGGGACTCGCGCAGGGTGGTCTCGAGGTAGTCAATGCGGGTGTCGGCCTCTCGGACGGTGTCATTGAGCGACTCGAGTTCGGCATGGAGGCTGTAATTCTCGTGTATCGTTTCCCTGTTCTTCTCCTCGAGCTCTGCATTTTCGCGTTCCAGCTGTTCAATGCGAGCGGTGAGTTCGGCGCGGTCGCGTTCGGCGGCGGCCATGTAGGCTTCATGGCGGATGAGCAGAGTCTGGAGGGAAAAGGTCAGCGAGGAGAAGCATTCCTCCGGCCTGGGTTGTCGCGCGCGCCATTTGCTGTGCGTTGCAGGTGTCTTTTCCGACCACTCTAGCATTGTGCAATCTGTGAGGAAGACAAGGTAGATGCAGATGATTTTGCAACCAAGCCATGGTCGGAGCCAAATCAGGGATATGAAGGGAGCAATTGACGGTGGTGACGGGCGCACAGGGAGCGGATGAAAGGAATGCGGCACGCATCAAACAGGAAGCAGGTCTGCGTCATTGATTACTCACCTGGCCCATTTTGGCGGCCGTATGGACATCGCGCTCGACACTCTTGAGGAGAGTACAGTTGTGCCTAAGATAGACGCAGTCCTCCCTTCCACAGCAGCACCGCATAGCCGACGGCTGTGCCCCCTGGGCGGAGTTATCGCCGCTGGATCCCATGACGGCGGTGGGTGATGTTGGAGGATTTTGCGGCACGAGCTCAGCTACGGGCTCAGCAGCAGCAGCAGTAGCAGGAGGAGCAGCAGCGGCGGCAACGGCTACTTCTTGTTCGCAGTCGGCGGTCGGGGTCGCGGCGTCTGCCATTCCCATTCCCATGCCTATAGTGTGTATACTGGACTCGTCGGGCTACTCGGGGACCGTCGGTGGAATGTGTTGTCGTCACAGGCGGATGAAGAGGAGAAGGATGAGGAGGAGGAGGATGGTGTCTTGGTCAACACCACCTCCACCATGCTGCTGAAATGTCGACCCCTGATTGACTGGAGGATCGGCGGCCCCGGGAGCACGAATCTGGACTCGCTTTGGCGCTGTGGCTTTTAGGGACGAACAGCGTAGAAGTCGGTAAGGAACAGGTAGGGAACACCTGTGCACAGATACCCGAATGCCGTGTCGGAGATTTTGCAGGCAGGATGGAGAAAAAGAAGGTCGGGAAAAAGCACGAGGACCACGGATCGTTGACTCGGGACTCGCAAGGATTGGCCGGCAAAGGACGGTGAACCCGGCAAAGTGGGTGTTCCGATATTGACACTGGGATCCTGATGACAGCAGAATTGAGAGGAAGAGGAGACGGGGCCTCGCCGGTCTATAGGCTAGAGGTATAGGACATCGGTCGGTGGGTATGGGTAGACAGACGAAGGGAAATGAAGAGAAAAAAATAAAGAGCGAAAAAAAAAAGAAGAAAAAAAAAAGGAAAATTGAATGATAACGACCAAAATGGCGAGCACTGGTTGGACATCCCCCCCTGTCCCCGTGGCCCCGGGTTCCTCAAGCAGAATGATCCATGTCTTCCACTTGTCCCCATTTGAGGCCCCGGTCCGGTCCTCATGTGCTTCGTGTTGGGTATGAAGGCGTTGAACAACACAGAGCAGAAATGACTGGCGTCCGTTGTGGATTCGATTCCAGAGGTCGAGGACGCGCCAGGTCACCACTGCACAAGCAGAGAATGCGTGCATTTCGTCGCCAATGACTGACACTGGCGCAATCGTTGCAGCCCGCTTACAGATGCAGCCAAGACCACCTACCAGTCGGGGTGAAAAGAGGCCCAGACGCGGGTTGTGCCAGAGACAAGGGTTGCGCCGAACAGGTACCCGCTCACACCAATGACACCACACACCAGTCCTTTAACATCTTCTCCCAGCTGTCAGCCGTTTTTCCTCCTGTTATCGCCTTGGTAGCTTCTGATACCATTTTCTTAACACATACACTCATCCACCAGCTGCCAAAGGCTACAAAGGTACAAAGGCGCTCACCGCCCAATGCACATCACCCTAACCACTTCCAGCTTAGCACGCCTTGTGTCTTTCTTTCCCCGGTCCGCGGCCCATCGCGACCAAACCCCACTCACACCCAAGTGGAATCCATTGATAAAGCAACAACAACAACAAACCGAACGACAAGTCGTCATACCACCTATCAACCACCGATTGACCGAGACACACACCGAACGGACGAAACACGCGAGGCCATTTCGAGAAAGAGGGGTTCGCAGAGGGGGACTGTCTTTTATACCTCTACAGTTCGATTCAAAGACAACGGCGACCCAACATCCGTTCGTCATCATGTGCAAGCGAGCGAGTCGTGTGCCAATAGTGCCAATAGTGTAATGTTATCTCCGATCCAATGTCCACCAATACTGTACAGATACGCAAGTCGATCAATAAGATGAGATGAGATGAGATGAGATAATTATACCCCAAAATAATTACCCGTTAATTCAATCAATTCAATCGACAACGACAACCAACGGATTCATCCGCAAGGCTGCTTGCTTGCTTACCTAAGTATCCAACTAAACTAACTAACGAAAAATGATCTCCAAGCGAAACGAGTCCCGAGGCCGCGATTGACCGGGGTCTGTTGTTCGTTCTTCTTCGGTTCTTCTTCTTTTTTGACGATGCGATGATCAAAAAGGAAAGAAATGAGTATCTGCGCTGAGCAACATAGCACGTGCCGTCAATCAATCAATCAATCAATTCAATTCAATCCACCCCGCCTCTTTCCTTTTGCTCTCCTTTCCTCTCCTCCCCGCTCATGTCTGTTTTCTCACGATTCTCCCATTGGAGATTGAAACACCGTCACCGACGTGCACGAATTCCCATCCTGTAGGTCTCAGATTTCCCCGCATCCATCGATGCCCGCTCATTACTATGTATGCCCGCTCATTGTGCCCGCTCATAGCCGCCTCATGCGGCCCGCGGGACGGCTTAAAACATGGATCATCCATTTCTGTCTCTTTTTTTTCTTTCTGCTTTTTCTCCCCCGAACTTTGACGATTGGCAATTCGTGCATGCAACTGAAATGTCTCCACTTTGAATTGAACTGATTGATCCTTGACTGACCGACAGGCGGGCGGGCGGTTCCGGCGATCCTATCCGATCCGATCCAGGCGGTCGAGTGGTTCTCTCATGTGCTCTTGTTCGCCTCGCCTCGGATAACAATTCTCTTTCCTCTATTTTCTCCTCATCGAAACTACGTATCGATTCTTTGCATATACACGTCTAAGTTTACTTACCGTGTATGGTAAAGGAGCAAGGTGTAATGTACCTAGGTAAAAAGAGATGGGGTGCACGGCATTGAGTGCAAACAGTAGAACACCCAGAATAACTCCATGATAGATGTCCTCAGAAGAGCAGACTGGACGGACGGGTCCGAGATAAACATTACTTCAAAGAACACCGCTATTTCCCCTTCGTCAAGTTATTCAACTGACTACCTTGTACTCGCTATTTCCGTTATACAATAAGCAAGAAAAGCCAAGCATGCTTATGCCTGCCAAAGCACTACATTATAAGCCATCCCCTGCGTGTATGATCACGGGCTCTATATCCAAGAACACGCGCCTAGGCCCGCTCGCTACCTGTTTCCTTCATCCTTCCGAGAAAAGAAATATAATGTGAACTGCGGTTCGTCTGTGCTAGTTGTTCTGAGTGTTCCAGCAGCACCAGTTCTAGACAGCTGCTGGCTGCTCTTTGGCCGCGGACGCGTTCAATAGAGGTACTCATATCGGCAATCATCTTGTTTGTTGAGACGGATGCAATTTGAGCAAGGGCGTTGGCGGTCACACTGAAAGAACATGGCCATGTCAATATCAGCACCTCCCCACAAGATAGGAATAACTCACCTTCTATTTCGACCGATTACATCGGATGCAAACCACCCTCTTGTATTTCCTTTTCCTTCCTGTCCGACGCGGGGGTTGAGGGTTCTGGGGGCGCTCCTGGTCCTAAAGAGTAGCCCCAGCGCCTTCCGCACTTCTAGTCCCAGTTCTTGTCTTAGGGCCACTAGCACCAATGCCTTGCTCAGGCCTTCCTCCTGTAGCATCGACCCAAGAAGAACCGCGAGGATTCTCAAGCCAATCGCGCTCAGGATACACCGTAAAGTCCATGATATTGAACCGCCCCACTCCCTGTGCCGATCCTCCTCCTCCCATTGCCGAGCCATGCATGACATCGCTGCCTATGCCTTGGCCTGGCTGTTGCTTGCTACCACTTCCGCCATCATCAATTAGTCCTCTTCCGCCGCCGATTCCCTCCATACCATGTCCCTGGCCCACACTGTGGTTCTGGTTCATTTCAGTCCCGCTAGCATTCTGTGCTGGGGCAATGGCTGACAGAGGAAACCTGGGCATGTTGAAGAAGTCAAAAACATCGAGATATTCCAGGTCGTTGGCTCCCCCTCCTCCCCCTCCTGCTGTTCCTCCTTCTGCTCCCGTAGCAAAATGCCCGTTACTGTTATTGTTGACAGGCATCATGACGCCTGTGCTCATCAAACTGTTTCCGGCCGCGGTACCGGTCAAAGCTCCGTATTGCCGCGAGCCATGCCTAGGCTGGCGACTGATCAACAGGTCCAAATCGAATGCGGTCCGTCGCATGTCCGCCAGAATCCGCACGCTACTGGGTGTCACCTCGTCGCCCTCGCTCACGCTGGCCTTGTATTCGTCTAGCACCCGTGTCAGGAGATTGGAGTAGCGCGTGGCTACGGGCCAGTACTTGCCCATTTCGCGCAGGGTGTCAACAAAGAACTGGATATCCGGGTTGAGGCTGCGCTCAACGGTGCTGCCGTGGACCAGTAGAACGCGGGCAGCAACCCAGAGCGTGAACGCAAAGGGGGGGCCAAGTGTGGAGAGCAAGTTGTATTCGACGACGAATTTACCCAGGGCAAGGATATTATTGACTGTGTCGCGGCAGGTCTGAGAGGCCATGTAGGAGGGAGAGAAGATGGGTGAACGGACGGTGGGGTATGCGGCTGACGAGTGCAGACGAATGACGGCGGTGTGGTAGGTCGCATGGAGCATGATCCAGGCGCAGCTTAGAGTACGGGCAACCCTGGGGTGCTCATAGATCTTGGCCATGTTGCTGTAGTCATCGGGGAGCTCGAATTTCCACACCTTGAGCATTGTGTCCAGTTCTCGATAGCGGTGCTGCCAATTTTCAACATCGGTGAGAGACGAGATGTCGACGGGCTGCTTGAGGAACTTGTGGATCTTGGAGAGAATACCCAGGATCTCGATATAGTAGCTGAAGGCACCAAGATTCTCGGGCTTGTTGACTTGGTAGTCGGCGGAGCTGTTGCTGTTGAGTCGACTATCATCGTCAGCGGCGTGGAACCATCGAGTCTCAACTTTCTGATTCTTGATCCACAATTCGTCGCGGCATGGAAGGATCCGGTCAATTTCCTTGTCATCAAGGGCAAAGTCGAACGCCGTGGAAATGGTAGCGTAGCGATCGAGCACATATACCATCCAGAACAACCTTCTGCGGGTCTCCTCCTCGGCGAAGTCGCGTGGTTCTGGAAGGACCATGGCGCGAAGAGTGTAGATTGAGGGATAGCTTGGACAAACTGTCATGGAGTTCGTCTCGACGGCCAAGCCAAGCTGCACCACCCCTCGAGTGATGAGAGCCATGATGTTCCATCCTGGGGGCCCGTTGCTACTACCGCATAGATCCAGCGCAAGGATCACCAGGGCTTGCAGAGACATGACGGACGAATGTTCCATTCCATAGAGTAAAACACGCTGCTTCGAGGCCGTGTAGAAACGCTGCCGACTCTCCTTGGGGAGCATCTTGTCAGTTGCAAATCTCATGGCTGTAGCAACAATGGCATGTAGCAGGATCTTTTCTTCCTCGTTCGGGATTCTCTCTCCAAAAAACAGATCTTTTGTGGTCTCACGGTTCAGGATTGGACACCATGGGTGGATGTGCTTGAAGTATAGCTCCATGAGAGCGTAACAAACGCCATACGGCGGAAGCTCCTGTTCAGCGCCTCCTTGCCCTTGCGTGGCCGGCAAAACGGCTGTTGTTAGCGACGGACCCGCCATCTGATGGGAGACGGCTCGGGGGGCACCATAGTACTCTTGAACAGCCGCACTAGGGGTCATGGCCGGCTGCATACGAGGCTGGGGAGTTGCCACGTGCTGGAAGTTGTCATGGACAATGGCTGGAGTGTGAGGGCCCAGACTGAAGTCGGCTGAAGTCGGGGGCTTGTGCATGAATAGAGCCCTCTCAGCCGAATCTGGGCCGGCGTGAGCGAAGACCGGAGGGGGTCCTGTATCGCGCGGTGTGCCGTGGCCGTTGCTCGGCAGGCTCGGTGTGCTCCGATGGCCTGATGGCGCATGGTTATTTCTGTTGTTGGCATTGATGCTGAGGGTAGCACGACTGTGGACACTCCCCGGGCTCGTGTTGAGGTCGAGTCCGTGTGCCGCTAAGATGTCGGCGTGTCTTTTGAGTTCTGCTTCGAGATTGTCGAGACGTTGCTCTAACTCGCGGCCATAGCCTGCTCTAAGGCCGGGCTTCTTTCGTTCTTTGTACTCGCACACAACTGTATTTCTACTACACCACCCGCAGGCTGGTTGACCGCGGTCGCATTTTACCTAGTTCAGGATTAGTATTGGAAAGGCGGGGAGATGGGTTGCAATTGGGAAGATCAGGCGAACCTTTCGAGTTTTGCAAGTTTCACACCTTGTAATCCCTGGTTAGTTTCATTGGCCGATACAACACTACACCACGATTGTAATTGAAATTGAAGTAGAGGTTCACAAGATGCCTATAAAAAGCTCGCCGTGTTGATGATGATGTGAATTATTGTTGGTGGTGACGATGCCAGGACGGGGTACGGGGTGTTATCAACAACGTGTGTAATACATGGTGGCACTAACAAACAATGCCGAGTGTATAGTGGAGGTCGTCGTCGAGGCCAATAGAAAAAGAATGAAATGAACGAATGTATGGACTTACGAGACAGAAAGAGGTCTCTTTCGCTTGCCATTAGGAAGCACCTGGTCATTAGCGTGGTTATTGTCGTCGTCGTCGTCGTCGTCATCGTCGCCGCTCTGCTGGCCGTCGTCGCTATAGACGGAGGCATTTGGCGGGCCATGCTGCTGCTGCTGCTTCTGCTGCCCCTGGAATTGGAACAATGGCGGTCGTGACGGTCCTCCTGCCGCTGCATGATGCTGTTGCCCGGAAGCAGCAGCAGCCATGGCGCTGGTCGGCAACGATTCGGTCGGATGCCTGTATACTGATTGATGATTGCGATTGGGGACGGCCGATCTGAGCCGAGGGTTGTAGTCGCGTTGGGTTGCTCGGCGTGATGGTGACCGAGCGGGGAGGCTGTTCGGGATGAAAAGCAGCGGATGCCGTTTAGGTTGCCTGGGTGGAGTGGAGGCCCTGCTGATGTCGATCCTGTGTGTCCGTGGGTTCGAGGTCAGTGCGCTCTTGTTTGTGTAAGAACACCGACAACCGAGACGGTAAATTGTGCATGAATTGAGCAACGTCTATTGGATAGCAAAGTGTGGGAGCAACGAAACAGAAATAAATTTGTAGAGTAATTTTCAAATGATTGATTCTAGGGCTAAGTAGGCATGTTTCATTTTGGGTTCAAGTTAACTGCCCGAGAAATGGATAGGAAAGACCAATCCCTCAGAAAAACGAACCTTCTTTCTTGTGAACAGCAACCAACACGGGCATCGAGCCACTCAGGTCCTGGCCAAGACTCTGCAGCTCAACATTTTCCAGGTGGGCTTGGCGGGCGAGCGGAATGGAAGGTGTGCATGCGCACGCAGACAAAGTGATCTTTCCATGGGTGGTTAGAAATGGCCCGTGTCAGAAGAGGTTCGGGCTGATGATGTCGAGCAGTGAAATCGGTACGAGCCTGGGCCAGCGGGGAAGAATTAATGAATAGGTAGAATTCCCAAACGGGATAAGCAGAGGCAGGCATTGGCCAGGCCTTGGTACCTGCGAGCTCCGTCGCAACCATCAACAACCCTATGTCGATGGTAAAAATGACGGACTATTCGTCCGAACCATACAACAAGAAAATGGAATCCACATTAACATCAGGCTCATCGGGTATCTTAGTTGCCGGTATGTTTTTCAGCAGCCGTTGATGCGGTCACCATTGAAACGTGGAGGTGGGGTTGATGGCTTGCTGCATCAAGGGACCAGACCAACCTAAGATCAAAACCATTCCCGGGCGAACAAACAGCTCGGCATCTCCAAAACCCCATGTGTGTGGTGTGTTGAGTCTTTGCTCGCCGTCGGGACATCACCACCCGAATAGTGGCCCGAGTTCTCGACTGTTCTTTGGTGAGTGGCTAGTGATCATCGTCCATCATGCTTTCCCATGTTGGAAAAAGCCGAGGTTAGGTAGAGCTCGTCTGGCTCAGCTGAGATATACTTGGACGCCTTCTCGCTTCCCGTGCATTTCGTTCTCGGCTTCATGCCTCCTTTCCTTCAAGACTCACAAATACAATGGCGACAGCAAGACAGTTCCCTACCATCAAGAGCATACGATCTTTTGTGATCGGTGGCGTTGGCTCGGGTGGTGATTACCACAATGTCAAGGGCGGCCATTGGTATGACTTTTACCAAGACTCTCCTCGGGACTGAACACTAACAGCACAGGCTGATCGACTCTTCCATCTCAACGCCATGCTCACAATGGGAAAAGTATCGGGCGTCCCGTACAAGCTGGGGCATCAATGTCCTGGGCTCCTTCTTTGTTGAGATCGAGGCCAGCGATGGCACCGTCGGATTCGCAACTGGCTTTGGAGGTAATGTTCAACTTCCAGATTCACACAAGACGCAAGGCAAGCTAACCAAGACACCACAATACAGGTCCTCCGGCATGCTGGCTCGTCCACCAACACTTTGAACGTTTCCTCATCGGCGCCGACCCCCGAAACACCAACCACCTCTTCGAGCAAATGTACCGCGCCTCCATGTTTTACGGCCGCAAGGGTCTTCCCGTCGCCGTTATCTCGGTCATCGACCTCGCCCTCTGGGACCTCCTCGGCAAGATCCGCAACGAGCCCGTCTACAAGATGATTGGTGGCGCCACCAAGGAGCGTCTCAACTTCTACTGCACCGGTCCCGACCCGCCAGCCGCCAAGGAGATGGGTTTCTGGGGCGCCAAGGTGCCGCTCCCCTACTGCCCGGAGGAAGGGCACGTCGGCCTGCAAAAGAACATTGAGTTCCTGCGCAAGCATCGCGAGGCCGTCGGCCCAGACTTCCCCCTGATGGTGGACTGCTACATGTCGCTCAACGTGTCGTACACGATTGAGATTGTCGAGAAGACCAAGGACCTCGACATCAACTGGTGGGAGGAGTGTCTTTCCCCCGACGACACGGACGGCTTCGAGCAGATCAAGCGTGCCCACCCTACCGTCAAGTTCACCACGGGCGAGCACGAGTATTCGCGCTACGGGTTCCGCAAGCTGATTGAGGGCAGAAACCTGGACATCATCCAGCCGGATGTGATGTGGCTCGGCGGCATGACGGAGCTGCTCCGCGTGGCTGCCATGGCGGCCGCTTACGACATTCCCGTTGTCCCGCACGCCAGTGGACCGTATAGCTACCACTTTGTGATGAGCCAGCCGAATACGCCGTTCCAGGAGTACTTGGCTAACTCGCCTGACGGGAAGAGCGTGCTGCCGGTGTTTGGTGATTTGTTCTTGGATGAACCCATCCCGACCAAGGGGTTCTTGACGACGGCGGACCTGGATAAGCCGGGCTTTGGGTTGACGCTTAATCCCGTGGCGAGGGCAAAGTTGATCCCCAGTGCTTATTTGCTTACGCCACCACCCGTGGCACCGTTGACACCTGCGGGTGCTAGTTTGGGTGTCACAGGTGTCGAGGAGACGAAGCCGGCGCCGGCGCCGGGGGTGACAAAGGAGAAGGAGGAGAGTGACGGGGTGCTTGATGGGTTTGTAGCGAGGATTCAGGAGCTTACGAGCTTGTAGAAGAAATGTTGTATATGAGGTTTACAAAGTTTTGTCTGAAATGAGTTTAATGATCAATACTTCATCCGTCCTCCTTTTTTGAGCATGTAACCCAAAACCAATCGATCCGATCATTACTCGGAGCACAGCACTGACGTCATCGTGAGAACCTCTATGGCAGCTCTGAAGTTAGAACTCTCAATGATGAAACCTCTGAGAATATCAATTGAACTAGTATCTACCATTCGAAAATCCTTTGAAGAATGTAAAGCATCACATACGTAAGCAGAATTCATCTCCAGCATGGAGGGACCAGAAGGAATTGGTGCCCGGACAAGTGGAATGACGGGACCGACCTCGCCAATCTCGCTGTAATTCTCCCCGAGGTACAGTGGAGGAATCTCTGGGTTCGGCCCCACTATGGTGGGCCAAGGAATTGGTTTTGGGACCCACCATATTTTTGCTTCCCCTCTTCCCCTCCATTTTGTCTGCGCAGCTCTCGAACACCATCTGCTCTCTTAGCCTGTGATGGTTTTTAGTCGGGCCAATTGGATGGATTACACTTTGCAATATGAGATGGAGGTGATTGATGATGACATGAATATACGCAGTACATGTGAGACTTTAATCTGAAGCTCCCTTGGCTCAACACCATCTCTTTGTGATCACTGCTTGAAGTGTCTGACGAAAACTAACCGAAACCTTCTCTTCATTCTCGTTTTCTAGCTTGTACCCCATCAAACCGCACTTCCTTTATTCCAAAAACATATCGAAAAGTCACAGTTTCACCACCCCAAATTCCACATCAACATCGACAATTCCCATCCCCAAAATGCCACCAACCAACCTCCTAGCCTCCAAAACCGCCATCATCACCGGTGGCACAACCGGCATCGGCCGCGCCATCACCCTCGCCTTTCTCTCCCAAGGCTGTTCCGTAGCCGTTAACCACCTCGATCTCCCGCGCGACCGACACCACGTTGACTCTTTGATCGCCGAAGCCGCAGCCCTCAAGTCTTCCTCCTCTTCACCGCAGCACACAACAATAGGCGACCTAGCTCTCCTACCCGGCGACGTCCGCGACCCGTCCACCGGTCCAGCTCTCGTCAAATTCGCCCTCGACACATTCAAGACCGACCGCCTAGACATTTGCGTTTCCAACGCCGGTATCTGCCAATTCGCCGATTTTTTGGACATGGATGCGGACTTATTCAGTAACACGGTCCGAACCAACCTAGACGGAGCATTCTACGTCGTCCAAGCGGCTGCACGACAGATGGCGCGTCACCAGGATCCGCCGGGCGGAAGCATAATAGGCATCAGCTCCATTTCTGCGCTGGTGGGAGGGGCAGGGCAGACGCATTATACGCCCACCAAGGCCGGGGTGTTGAGTTTGATGCAGAGTATGGCGTGTGCGTTGGGGAGGTATGGGATACGGTGTAATTCGATACTGCCGGGGACGGTGGAGACGCAGTTGAATGAGGGGGATTTGAACGCTGATGAGGAAAATGGAAGGGAGAAGAGGAGGTATATGGAGGGACGGATACCGCTGGGACGACTGGGACGGCCGGGGGATGTGGGTGGGCCGGCGGTGTTTTTGGCGTGTGAGGAGTTGAGTGGGTATGTGACGGGGGCGCAGGTGTTGGTTGATGGGGGGTTGTTTGTTAATTTGCAGTGAGGGGGGGTGTGATCGAGTTGTCTCGTTGTTGGTACAATGATCAGACTTTTTGAGAAAGATATAAGAAAAGATTGAACTGGATGGTAGTCGACATTGAGGTGGTGAATGACTACTCCATCCCAACCCTACTAGTCTCCACGTACGCTCCTCGGTCATAGTCATTGGGGTCATATGAACCCTGTGTTGCTCCTCCCTTTCCAGCTCCCGCCTCGTCCTCGGCGGAAGAACTTCTCCTTTCCCTTGAATGACTCCAGCTTCCTACATTCGCCTCTGTACCTAAGGATCTGTCAGCACATTTGCAACATCACGCAGTAAATTCTTGACTAACCGTGACTTTTCCCCGTACTACCCACCCTCCGTCCCCTATTCGGACTATCACCCTCCCTCTGCTTCCCTTTATCTTGCTCCTGTCCTCTGTCCACCTTAGAGAAGGTTCCAGTGATACTGCTCCCAGCCTGCCCTTCTTCTTCTTCTTCAGATGTCGCTTGTTTTGGCTTATTGCCGTTACCTCCCTGGACCTGGGAACCCTGGTCCAGGCCCTGGCTCTGCTCCTGACCACCATCGTTTTTCTGTTGCTGTTCCCGCTGTTCCCGCTGCTGCATTTGCCGCAGAACCTCGGCCTCGGAGGTGACTCCCGGTAGGTTGTCCCATTTGTGGTGTTGTTGTTCCCTTTGCTGCTGCTGCATCTTTATCTGCCGCAAAACCTCTGCTTCTGAGGTGATTCCCGGTAGGTTATCCCATTCGTGGTGATGGTGGTGGTGGCTGTGGTGTGTGGGGTGTTTGTGGTGGTCTGTTCCTTGTGCTTGGCGAACGGTGGAAGAGGAGGTTGCTGATGCTGATTCGGAGGTAGAGGGCGAGAAATGGCAGTTTGGATCGGTACAAGTTTTGGGGGGTTCGGGATGTGGTTCGGAGTGCGATTTTGGGGTGGTTCGATTGTTGGGGCTGCTTCCGAGTACTGCTTCTTGAACGTGGGACCTGGATTCGGTGAGTTCGTCGGCTATTACACCGCGGCGGGCTAGCATTGTGATGAATTTGTGTTGGTGGTGACTTGTGGTGGTATTGTCTGTTGGTGATGGTGGTTGTATGGAGGTGGCCTTTGGCAAGATCGGTTGAGGGAAACTAAGATGGCACTGCTGTTGTAGAGGTAGATGGACTATAATATATACATACACATGAGATAAACTCAGTCCAAGATAACGGTTGATGTCATTGATGCACATGCCACTCCCTGTCCTCTCCATCCCAACGGTCCCCCGACTCCCCACATGCCGTAACGGCCGGAATGTACCAGATAACACGCAACTGCGAGGAACCTATTATACCTGTCAAAGGTGCTTCAAACAAGGCGATTCGAGCGCGTCATCCAAGGAAGTTCTCGGCAGGTGGCTTGGATGGTCCTGGTTGTAGATCATCTCGGGGTGTTGAATTCTTGGCTCTGGGGTCGGTCGGTGGAGACGACGCAAAACGGGACGGGGCGAAGACTTGGTGGATCCGGGGAGTTCTTTGAGTGTTGTGTAGGGGACTTTTTTTTGTTTCATCTTTCAAGACAAGGGTTTGCCCACCAAAAAGATTTCATCTCCTAAAGCCATCTGGGTCGTCTGTCGGAGTCGCTTATTCTCCGTCTTTGTTAGTTTCTACCAAGTCGGACATCTTGTCGGACGGTGTGTGCCAAGAACACCCGCCCGCTCGCTTGCTGCCACTTCTCAACAAATCCCGTCTTAGAAAGCCGCGGCGCAGCACGGAAGAGGCACATCGCACAACTCTGAAAATCCTGGGGTTTGGTCCCCGCTACCGAGACGGCGGGCAGACCCCGTACGTCATCGTGGAGCGCGCCATTTAGGCGACAAGGAATGACCTGGATGATCAAGGTGGAAAGAGATAGACAAAAACGGATTATATTTTGAGGCCTCAAAGTTTGAAGGGGAGGGCGCGAAATCGAGAAAAGAAGAGAGGGATAGGGAATGGATGGGGTGCATGTCGGAAAGCTTCAAGCGACCACTCACCAGACATGAAACGAGAAAATGCAGCAGTACCAGAAGGTGACGGATAAACAAACAGAAGGATTCGCGCTACTTTTTATGCGTGAAGGCATAATATAGAGAGCTCTTACAAAGCTCAATATCAACAACTACAACTGGCTCAATGGTCTAGTGGTATGATTCGCGCTTCGGGTTAAACCCTCATGGTCACCATGAATGTGCGAGGTCCCGGGTTCAAATCCCGGTTGAGCCCTATCATTTTTCTTCTTTTTGTCATCACTTTTACTTACCGCTCACGTTTCTAAGCTCCAACTACATCCATGATGTTTTTTGGGCGCATGTCGCATCATTTTTGTTTTCCTTCTCTCAATGATTGGCAAACAACAAGCTTGGCCATCGTGGCATGGATCCTCCGCGTCGTGATGACCACGCGAATGTGTGGGCCAGCGGCAAGCAAGCGCCGCAGGTAACCTTACTGTCTTACTGTGGGCAGGGACTGGACGGGAGACCATCGCGCCGAATTGCTCCCCGTCCTCTTCAGCGCCCAATATATGAGCCGTAAGAGCGTTCGCTTGGACTTGAAGGACGTAAGTCTTTTTTCCTGCTGCCATCGATACTTGAAGTTTGGATCAAATCATCTTGCCGGCACCCGGAATGAATTTGAACCACCCAGCTTCATCTTGATTCAACCTTCGTCCCGTCCTCCCCGCTCCGTGACTGCGGGCCAAACCCCTACGATATCGCCGACATGGTCCTAAGATCCCCACACAAACCACTCAACCGCACAACACAGGACATCCGGCTTTTAACTTTCGACACAACCCACAAGGCACCCTCAACGTCCAATTTTGCGTCGCCAGTTGTCACCCTCTTCCTCAGTCATGTCCCCCTCTCCGCATCACCGCCTCCCTTCCGAGCCGTGTCCTACATCTGGGGCATCCCGTCCCCCGATGAGCCCCTTCCTACGATCCATCCCGACTACTTCCCCATGACTGTCACGCCCAATCTATATTTGATCGTGCAGGAAGTGGTGCTGGCTCAGAAAGGGGTCGTCGCGTGCGGAAGTGGTGAAGCGGTGGTAGTGGACTGGGAGGATACTCGGGATGTGCTGCAGTTGTTCGAGTGGATGATCCTTTTCTCGAACATTGATCCCAAGTATCGGCTGCTGTACGAGTTGCTGGGGGACATCATGTTTAGTGTTGTGCATCTCGAGGAGGTCCTGAATGCCTACAGGCTCATTCTGCGTAGAGGGAAGGATTATCCGGAGAAGACAACGCTCAGCACAGTCCTCACGCACCTCGCCACAGCTGTGATACAAGAATATGGCCCGAAGGTGCTATGCTATCAACGGGGGATCGCAAGGTGGACAGACGGGGGACTTCCCTCGGCACCTGGAAAACCGATCATCGGCAGCGTCGAACTTGATGGACCTGGAGGCGAGCTCGACTTGGATGCCACAGAAGGAAGACACTGGCCTCTGAACAGCACGGCAGAGACTGCAGTGATTGGAGAGTCGAAGCTCGCCCTCTTCTTGCAGAGGGCAGTGATGTCAACTGTGGTCCGTGTTGGTTCAGGGTTCACTACCTCTAGTGTCCCAGGACAGGAGGATTACCGCAAAAACTCGGACCGTTCGTCTTCGGATATTCGCAACTTAAGCATGTTTGAGCCAAGGCACTCTACGCAATCGAGCCTGGTAAAGCCCAATCATTGCACACAGAGTCTGTCGAAAGCCGAAGGCGAACGGCCCGACTTTCTGCGGTGCCTGATCGCATATCGCGCATGGCTTGAAGAGACACTTAACTTGCCAGACCACCCCTTTATTCTACACGCACCCGTTTTGACTCCAGACACAATCTCACTCCACCAAACACATATCACCTACTCGTCTGAGCTACAAGCAGAAGCGCCTCGCTCTCCCAGTCTTTCCCTGCCGGAACGCTCTGAGAAGTCGCAGCTGGAATCTCCAGGAAAAGAGTCTTCTAGCCCAGACGAGTGCACAGGAGTCGAGATGAAAGATCCACCGTTTTGTGTGAAGATTCCCGACGAAGGAATGTTCGAAACATTCATGCGCATGAATATCAGTCGCGCCGTCAGTAATTTTGACAGTGCACCAAGCCTTCAGGGCATTGATCCTATCCATCGCCAACCTCATCATATCGTCAACCTCATTGCATCGCTAAAAGGTCTTTAAATATATGAGCCGATGCGACAAACAAACTCGCACTATCTGGGTGTTGGGAGTCGTACAAAGGTGCATCGACCTAGAGGTACTCGGCAAATCCAAAACAGCTTTCGGCCCTCTATGTGCGATTCATCCCTTGGTCTTCCAAGGGTTCTGTTGACCAAGAAAGCAATTGTCTACTCGATAGGTGCTGACCGGACTGGAACACGTGCAGGTTCTTGATTCGTTTTGGGTTTGGTACCGGCTCCCTTTGTTGATTGTTGTAAATACAGTTGGTGCGGACCACCCAACATCCTTTGTTGCTTGGACGCCTCGACACCGAAAGCGGATAGCAGGATACAAAGGATGTCTCCACTAGAACGATGCCCATAAAGCTTCGTGAGCTCAACTCCAGGCAAATGCACAACTACTACTTGCTCCCGTAACCTGATCCATTTTTCTTCGCAAATCCTAGACCGAAGCAACGCAGACCACTCACCACAACATGCCTTCCAGAAGAAGAAGAAGAACAGATGCTGCTGCATCACCAGAGCCACAGCGTCCGACCCAGGCCGGGGATATGTTTCACTGGTCCATTCTCTTTCCCGTCGCTCATTGGGATCTAGCCCCTCAGGAAGAAAATGAATGGAATGGCGGTGACATCGCTATCAATCAAATCCAGAGCTACAAGTGGCTTCAGGCACGCGCGCGAAGCCTCGGCACAAGGGGATTCCTTCTCATCCAACAGCTTGCTCCACTCAACCGACTTCTCCTTGTCCATGACTTGTATACCGAAGAATTGGTCATCAACAAGCGCGTACGCAAGTACCTGAAGCGTTCCGACCTGGCGACCTTGTACCCTGAGCGGAAGGACATACGACAACGCCTGCCACGGCGTTTGCAGATGTACGCCCACCCAATCCCTGGGGATATTCGTTTTGCTCGGATTAGTGGCGACCACCGCGACCCGCGTGTAGAGGTTCGCCTCCCGGATGAACCCTATTTCCAGAAATTGTACGCCTACGGATTTCCTCACGACCAGATGTATGGGCATCTGGACCATGGCATGGTGGAGAAAGATGGCAGGGCCACAGAGGAAGTCTACAACGCCTCTCTGTACTACGAATACCTGAACGGCGGCTCGCTCGAGCATGCAATCATGCGTATCAACTGGGGAGAAGGTGAACGTGCCCGGTGCGTGGAGGAACCGTTCATCTGGCACCTCATTGAGCAGCTCTCGCGAGCCCTGCTCTATCTGCACTGGGGCGTTGAACGCCAGGGGAACGAACGCAACGAGGACGGAGAAAGGATACCCCGCAACTGGCAGCCAGTTTGCCACCGATGGTTGACCATGGACAACATCATGCTGCATTGGCCGGAATATGGCGAGGAAGGGTACGAGGAGAGCATGGATGGCCGACTTCCGCGCGTGGTGCTGACCAACTTTGATAACGCGGCAAGGAAAGGCGAAGAGCCTCACGACAATGGTATCATTCACTTTGGCCGTTTAACGTTACCCAAGGATCGCATTCTAGAGGCTAGATATGGCGTGAGCCCCAGGGATCGAGTCTGGCAAATGGAAGAGCCGGATACGTGGCAGGATATCTATGCCATGGGAAAGCTGTTGCGACGAATCCTACTTGACAGACGTCGCCCAGGATTATATGACATCCAAATGAGAGGCCAAAAGAACTGGTTCAATTCCGAGACTTACGACTTGGCGCCCTTTGCTCAAAGTCGAGGCGGTCCTTACTCTGATGAGCTCATCGACGCGATCCGCTGGTTTGAGAGCACGGGGCCAGACGGTGAGGTTACCGAATGGAAGGGCAACGCTCGATTTACTGAAGACGAAAAGCCGGGTCGTTTGAACAGTGTGGCTGGCTTGGAGGACCAGTTGCTAGAGGAAGCCGAGTCCCATGTCGAAACGTTCCGGGAGAATGAACCTCCCGTTGCTGCAAATCAGATCAGCATCGCAACGGTCCGACCGCCAGATCTGAGGCACTACCACATGCCGTTCCGGACCAGACGAATCCGGGAAAAGGATGCGGAGAATGAGATGCAAGTAATGATGGAGTCGCTGAATGGGCCGGCATACAAGGTCGTGGTCGAGTACGGTCACGAGCATGAGAACGCTCGTCTGGCGAAAACGGATAAGATGAGGGAATTGGAGGAGAAGCGTGCAGCAGAGGAGAGGGAGATAGACCGACGAGCGGAAAATATGTTCCGGACAGTCCCGGATTCTCTGCTGGGGAAGGAAGTGCAAGAGGAGGAGAGAAAGGATTACAGGGGACGGTTGAGGAAGCGGAAGGATCGAGAGTTCCGTGATGAGACGATGAGGTTGGTTGGTAAGAAGATCAAGAAGGCTAGGAAACGGCGTGAAAGGAAGGAGAGGCAGCAGGAAGAGGGGGAAGCCGCGGATGGTAGTGAGTGGGAAGGATGAAGGGCAGGGTGTTTATTTCAGTTGTCAAAGTCAATCAATCACAGGACTCAGAGGGGATCTGGATGTGTCGAAAGAGGCCGGCACACTTGTGCTGTCAAAGAGTCCAAGAACCGAAAAAGACCAGACATGGAGAAATTTGGCCGGAAATTCGAAGCTCCTTTATAAAACAAACCCCTTTCATTCCTTCTTTCCCCCCCCCCCCCCCCCCCTCTCTCTCTGTTTTTCATGCCTCCGACCCATTCCGGACGTAGTGTTGTCGCCTTGCCTTGAGTACCATTTTGGCTGACACACCCAGCGAGTGGGGTCGCGATGGTGCCATACTCCAGGGGGTTGACGAACAGCCCCCACGACCGTACATCACTGGCGAAGCTCCCACACAATAACGGGAACTATTTGATTGCACCATCCACCACCATGGCTCGCCATTCGTAGGTAGTTTCCATGTTGGTAAGGTAGGTAACGAGAACTGAACGGCCGGCTTGCGACAACGTGGGTGTAATTCGTGCATGCCAAGGCTTGTGAATGCTTCGAGCTTGCATTTTGTTTTCAACTAGCTTCGTCAAGAGTTGCATGGTGAGGTCGTTTGGCTGCTTGTATGATGTTAGCCTTTTTTTTTCCTTTTTTTTTTCGCCTCATGAAGATGGACGGGAGGTACCTGACTCCTATCGCCAGTGTTGCCTCTTCAGTCCCGGTTGGGTTGTGAACAACACCCCCCAACCATCTCATCTAACCACGATTAAACCAACAAACAGACTGCAGTCTACTAAGTAGGTAGTCTAGAACATTAACCCCCGACTCGCCGTCATCTAGCACCTCTCCCAAAGAGGAGCCATCCCAGATTAAATGTACCTACCTATCGACCGGGATGCGGAATGCGGGATGCGTGCAGGATCTCTAAACTATCCCCCTATAGTCTAGTCACTCCGAGCCCAACGAAGTCGTCTCATCCCGGAAAGGAATCACGACATAGATAGCTGTTTCTCGCTGCTCACGTCCACTTCTACAGTTCCACCGGGCACTCTCCGCGTCCCCGTCCCCGTTCAGAACCCGGGTAGGGCATACAGATAGTCAGCAGCGAAATACCATTGACCAACCGAGTCTCTTCTACGGTGATTGCCAATGCCAACGTCCATCTAAGCGGTAGGTGGTAGGCGGTAGTGGTTTCCCGGGTTCGGTACGGTTGTTGATACGGTTTTCGACCCCACGCTTTTCCCACTTGCGCTTTTCTTCCGCTTCTTCTTATGCGTGCCATGCTCCCATTCCCCTGTCGCTCTGGAAGTCTAGAGGTATGTAGGTCAGCGCTATCAAATAACGTCAACGGTAGTCCACAGATAGGGCAAAGAAAAGTGGCGAACAGGCGGCCCGAAAGTTGCTGTTCCTAGTGCCGACCCCCATCATGATTCCTCAGGTGGAAGTGAACTTTGCGAGCGATAACCCGCTAACCTACCAACCCGCCAACTGGGCTGATAAGTAGGTAGGTAGCCATCACGCAATCAAGGTAGGATATTTCACCCCTCTGAATGGTGGGAACGGAAGGAAGAAGAGAGGCGGGAACAGAGGTAACCCAAGAGCACGTCGTATATAAGCCCTTCCCAACTATCCAGACAATGTGTTCGCATGTTACTTGTCGTCTCGTTTCGTTTCGAATCTTCCTGTAGTCTTGTCAGACATAGGCTGTATGTACCTACTATTAACATCCCTTCGACATCTTTCTCTCGACACTTGAGCCTCACTTTAGGTTCCTGTCGGTACCTCTCATCGTATTTCATCGCATCTCATCTCGTCTCGTCTCAGGGTCCATCCAGTCTTTGCCCGTCCGATCTGTAAGAAATTAGTCGTGTGCGGCCTTCAGACTTTGTGCTCCCACGGTCTGATCTCTCCTACTCCCATAACGACACCACACGACCAGACATCCAACCGACTCAACAGCCATGTCACAACCACCACAACAGCCACTACCACCACCCTACCAAGGCTCTGGCTCAGGCGGGAGCTCCAGCTCCCCCGACCACGACTCTTCCATCTCCTCCACCTCTTCCGCTCTCCCAACCCCCACCGACGAAAAGAAACCCTCATCCTACGGCACCGTGATCTCCCCATCCCCCGACACCAAGAACCTCAACTTCTCCTCCTCCTCCTCCTCAGACCTCTCCGAAGCCTCCGAATACGCCGACCTCACACGAAACCCCTTTCTGGACCCCGTCGTCGCCGCGCACTGGCGCAAAGTCTACGAAGAAGCCGACTACGAGTGCCGCGCGGTGTTCGACCCGAGCGTGACCTGGACAGAAGAAGAAGAGAAAGCAATCATTCGCAAGATTGATTTCCGGGCGTGTGCGTGGGCGATAGTCATGTTTTTTGCGCTGCAGGTCGATCGGGGGAATTTGAGCCAGGCGTTGGCGGATGGGATGTTGGATGATTTGGGGTTGGATACGAATGGTGAGTTCCCGTCATCTGTGCTATATTTGGGGGTGGGTTGGGAACAAGAAAAAGGGGAAGCGGGAGAGAGAAGAAGAAAAAGAAAAAGAAAGTTGAAAAAAGAAGGGGGGAAGGAGAGGGGGTGAAAGAAGATGAGGCTGACAACATGACAGATTATAACTACGGCAACGTCATTTTTCTGGTGTCGTTCCTATGTGCTGAACTGCCGTCTCAGTTGCTGTCGAAGAAGCTTGGTCCAGATCGGTGGATTCCGATTCAAATTGTGCTGTGGTCTGTCGTTGCGATTTCGCAGTGTTCGTTGAATGGAAGGGGCAGTTTCTTCGCTACTCGGTGTTTGTTGGGTCTTATCGAGGTTTGTCTCCTTACCTGCAGTGACCTTCCCCATCCACATC